CCAGAAAACGTGTACAAAATAATTTACAGACAAGATTTGAAGACGGAAAATCCAAAATGGCTGCCTTAACATTTACCCAGAATGCCAAAAAACTAATCAGTTCTAGATTTTTATACTAAGAATCATCCCTGAAAATTTGAAATTGATCTACCAAAGCGATCACCTGGAAATGCGTAGACAAGACTTTACAGACAAGATTTTAAGATGGAAAATCCAAAATGGCTACCTTCACATTTACCCAGAATGCCCAAAAATCAATCAGATCTAGATTTTAATACTAACAATCATCCCTGAAAATTTGAAATTGATCTGCCAAACGGTTCACCTGGAAATGCGTAGACAAGACTTTACAGACAAGATTTTAGGACGGAAAATCCAAAATGGCTGCCTCGACATTTACCCAGAATGCCCAAAGCTAATCAGATCTAGATTTTCCTACTAAGAATCATCCCTGAAAATTTGAAATTGATCTAGCAAAGGGTTCACCTGAAAGTGTGTAGACAAGACTTTACAAACAAGATTTTAGGACAGAAAAATCCAAAATGGCCGACAATAAAAAAGTGATTATGAGTTTTTGCTGATTTCTTTTTACAAAATTATCACATATAACTATTGTTAACAATAACATAGGCTTTTACAACAAAGTACACCTGAAATTATTGATAAAGCTACTAAATAGTTAAAGTATGAAAACTGAAAAACACCGTTCAATATGATACAAAGTATTATCGCGCTCTAACTTTTCTTAAAACATTCAAAATGGCTGACATGACTGAGCTAACAGGTCCAAAACCTAATCAGATGTAGAATGGAGTGAGCTGAACAAGATGTTAAAGTTTTAAAAGCAACTGTGAAGCTGTTTTTCTTAAAGTTTGCAGACAAGGATTTTAGCATTTGACTACAAAATGGCCGACAGGAAGTAGGTATCGAGTTAAATTTTTTCATCCACATCTGTATGCACTCATAAGTTATCTCTGAAAATTTGAAGGTGATATCTGTAGCGGTTTTGGAGAAAACTGCCGGACGTACGGACAGACGGACAGACGGACAGACGGACAGACAGACAGACAGACAGACAGACAGACAGACAGACAGACAGACAGACGGACAGACGGACGCGCCTAGGCCGACAATATGGCCCCACACTATGTGGTGGGGACATAAAAAGGTTGCATTTTTGGTGAAAATTAGGTCAACATTTTTGAAAAAGTATGTTGATTGGTCCATTGCCCCTTCAATATCACTTAGGTCTGATCAACTAAATTATCATTATGTATACTTTTCTTGAAGATAATGAATGGATCTAAAAGATACACCCATTTTCATAATCAGAAAATATTTATAATTCAAGTTAGAATTGTTTGAAATTGTTTGCGATAACCTATGTTACCTCCTTTACCTACCTCCTTTATAACATGACGGCCAGCTTTTTTCAATTTTTTTTTCCATTTCTCATTTATTCCATATATAATATATAAAATTACAATACAATATTATTGCCTACGTTTTTCAACATTGACGGCAATATACAAAACATGTCAAACTGGAACTACTGGAAATACAAGAATTGTGAACGGAGTGTAGTTGATCTAAAAACTCCATCGAAACAGCTTTAAAATGATATTTAACTTTAATTAGAATATTGTTTTATAATTCGGGGAATCAAAGTTAAATTCACGCGATACCCTTAAAAAACAAATGCGCCACCTTTTTGCGACACGTCATTGCATTTTTAAATAAATTTTCTTTCATTTGACACATAAATCAGCAATTTTGACCGCCTATAATTAGAGCTGACATAGGCCTGGTTATATCTGTCGGTCAGTTCTTAGCATTATGCATTCAACAATTGGCAAATCATGACGTTGACCCTATGGTCATCAAAATGATATTTTAAGACAAATACTCATTTATATTGATTGAATTGAATATCATTTTGTTGGAAATGTGTTTGTCTTTCCAATAATATATAATTTATACATTTGTCTGTAATATCAACAACACTGTAGCAAAAGCAAAAATGCGGACGTTTTTACGGATTCAAAGTGCAAAAATGGATGAAAATTATTTTAATTTTCCCAAATAATATCCATTCTAAAAGAAATAACACATTATTGTAAAAATCTTTAGATTTCCTGAGTTAAAGTGTGCACTTTGGGGATTTTTAGAAAATAGACATGACAAGGAATGAAAAAAGCCAGAAATATTCTTAAATTGAAACAATTAAACAATTTTTTGTTGGCCTGCTCGCGAGATCTTATTGTCTCTTTAATTTCTAAAAATTGTGTAGTAATGTTTGATGCGAATTGGATGCTAATTTTACTTAAGGAATAACTTGAAAATAGACAATAATGGCAACATCAACTGTTAGAATAAATTCTTCAGTTCGACATAACACTTTGTAGTATTGAGTTACATAAACATAAGAAGTAGTGACAAACGCGAAAAGTGTTTCAGTTTCGAGAATTCTCATAATAAAAATAGTATCATATTAATATTAATAATAAAACTAACGCAGTTTCAATATTAACGTAAGGACTACAATTTTAAAATTGACTAATAGTACTTACATATTCATCTTAGAGTGTTGTGCCCTTGTCGATGTATACTGTGAAGTATTCAAAATACGGTCGGTGAAATGACACCACGTTTTCAAGATATTTATTACACAATCATATTTGATTATTGAATAATGGGATCTAGGCATTTAATACTGGCTAGAACAAGCTGTTGTCAAATATTAATACTGGATATTCAACATAAGGTCGACTTATGTATATGTTAGAGGTAAAAATGTCATTTATTATATTTATTATATTGGTTGTTTTGTATGTTAAAAACAAAGGCAAATTGGTTTTGTATAATAATCATTCGGGTTTACGTCAGTAAAGATGACCGATGCATGAGGCATAGGCAAACATAGTAAAATGTCATGTTGACAGTATTGATGTGCTGACAGTATAATGTTATTATGAAGTAGAGGACCATTGTATGCTGATCACTGTATCATCCTTTCTACGTACAATGAATGATCAAAGTGTCAACATATTGGCTCTGTTTGAGACCTAACGCCTTTTACTAAATAACATTTTTCATTCCCAAAGATATCTATCTGAATCCGAAATTTTGATTGGAGATCCTGATAAAAGAGTGTATTCTTGGGACCAAAATTTCTTGGGATAATTTACTCAATTGACATTTTAGGGCAAAAGTTTTACATAATTTAATTGTTGAAGTAAGAAAGTGAGAAGTGTCCAATATTTTAGATATATAGGCAATGGTAAAGAAGTACAATGTACATGTATTATTGGATATGTCACTGGCCTTCCCATTAGATGTTCTTTCACTATTAAACTATAGAGTATTTTTAATTCTAAATCTATAGCAGTGTAATTGTCTTAGTTGAGATAAAATATTAAAGAATCTATTTCTTAAAAAACTGCAGCAACATACATGCATTTATAAATTATTTTTCTTGGAAAAAAATCCCATTATCCAGTTCGGTAACTTCAATCGGTAGACATGACTATTTGAAAATGTCTTCAACAAAAGATGTCACTGCTTTTCAACATCCCTTATTCATGTAGTACCTAGAACTGAAAAGGACGCAATACTTTCAAACAAATAGTTTTAAGGATGAATGTTGATATGAAAATGCTTAACTGCCATTGAGACTTACAGGTCATTCTAAAATAGGTTACCCTATGTGCAGAGGAAACTACCGAAGACGAAGCTCTCTTTTAAAAAGTGAAGTTGAACGAATGCAAAGGGTAAGAATAGGTATGATTCAACAATTTTCATTTTATTTGACTTGATGATTCAAAGTGAGAAATGGCTTCGAATACAAAACGTTTTAAAATGTGCATTATGTCACTCTATCTGATCCAAGGACATAACGTGTTTAGACCAGAATGCACAGGACCCAGAATGCTCAATATGGTTCGATACCCCAGCGAAAAGTACACCCCCAGCTAATATCCGCTGCTTGGAATGTAATACAAGGCATTAAGGTGCCATGATACTTAAGGGGAAATAACGAAACAGGAAGTGACAAAAAATATGCATTTTAGACATTTTTTGAACAAAGATAACAGAGTTCTTTTTTGACCTCCAGTCAATTTAACTATTTCCACATATCATTTACATGACCAGGATCACAATGTACATGGTCAGAATGACCCTAAACATGATGAAATAACCGTTCAGCCCTTTGAAAAACATAATATTTTATTTTTACAAACCATGTCCTGTTTCTGTAAGCATCGTTTTAATGCTGCTGTTTTTGGTGTATTTTATTTTAGTCGGCCACGGTACACATGTGTCTTGTTCACGAAGCCGCACGAGCAACTGCTTCAGTACAGAATGGGTACGTAGATCATTAGGATCACTCATGTTCCAGGATCACTCATGTTCTATGATCACTCATGTTCCATTTAAATTCTTCATATAAGGATAAATATAAATAAAAAATAAATAAATAAAAATAAAAAATATATATTTATAAGGATTAAGGTCGCCATTGGTATGACACACATGTAAGAATCGATTTGACGTTGATGATAATTGCCAAAATAATGGTTAAATGATTAGAAATCCTAATGGCGGGTAAAAAAATGTTTGTCAGGGCAAGAAATGTCCAGATATGTCCATAAAGACATCATTAAAATACAGTCATGACTTTGTATCGATGCAAAGCATACAAAACAATATGTTTATTGAATAAAATGTAAATTGTTCATGATAAACATATATACAATTTATCATAACTATATATACAAATACAATACAGTAATGTAATATTGTAAAAACCCAAATTTTCAAGGGGCCCTAACTAAATTAAAGGCACGGTGAAAATTTGATTTAACATTGAATTCAATTGAATACATCTTCAAACAATGAAATTGAATACCCATGAAACATTTCAGATTGACAAATAGTGAGATTTTTGTCAGCGAAAATTTGGGCTTTTACAGTACATAGAATGTTCCTGTTATTTTTAGCAAGAAGCGTGTCTTACGACCAGTCTATACACAACCTCTGTGCTTTTGATGCACATTCTAGCAGATCTGACGATACTGGTGTAGGGAATATATTGATAGGTAAGTTCAGAAAGCATGTTCAACTAAAGCATATTATCTAAACTCATTAAATTTAAGTTTTCAACTACAATTAACCAGTAACGAGGTCAAAATTGACCAAAAAAGAGTGAATCCCTCATTTGTCATATATTGACCGAAATTTTTTCATAAAAACTGATTTTCTAAATAGCAAGGATTAGATGTATCAGAAAACGTTGACCATGGGGTCAAAAAGACCCCATTGGTGCCTTTGTTGGTTAAATTAGGCTTACTATAGGACATGACAGGCGATCAATTTGAGAGAAATTGTACAGAAGAGCACTTACAATAATATTGTTATGGCATTTTATGTTCTCTATCTGAGCAACTGCCACGAATTGTATGTATATACAGCATACTTTCGCAATTTTTAGTTTCTGGTGCAAGTTTTTTGTCTACCGTATGTCCACATAGCAATTGTGTTTGACGATTTTCAGAAGTTCTGTAAAGTTATACATTTCGATCGATTGTAAAAAACAAAAATTTAATTCTAGCATAACCATGACACTGCCCAATCGTTAAAAGAGACTGTGTTTCAAACTCATTTCGGCATTCTCGGTAAATAGTACCCAATTCTTTTTTTTGTTATCGTTCTAAGGGGTCCTTTTATATAAAACTGTTTTTCCATAATGTTATCGAGGGTTATTGGCTTAGATATGTGGATATTTTAGTAAATTACTTATATTCAGTGTCTTATATTAACTCGGTAAATAGTACCCAAAACACAAGACACTGAATTGACCCTTCCCCTATATTAACTCGGTAAATAGTACCCAGCCCATGTTAAATTGCCATTGAAAAAGTCGTTTTGGGTACTATTTACCGAGTTAATATAGGGGAAGGGACCAGTTCAGTGTCTTATATAACTCGGTAAATAGTACCCAAAACGACTTTTTCAATGGCAATTTAACATAGGTTGGGTACTATTTACCGAGTTAATATAGGGGAAGGGACCAGTTCAGTGTCTTATATAACTCGGTAAATAGTACCCAACCCATGTTAAACTGCCATTGAAAAAGTCGTTTTGGGTACTATTTACCGAGTTAATATAAGACACTGAACTGATCCCTTCCCCTATATTAACTCAGTAAATAGTACCCACCCCATGTTAAATTGCCATTGAAAATGTCGTTTTGGGTACTTTTTACCGAGTTAATATAAGACACAGCAGTGAATAGTTTACTAAAATATCCACATATCTAAACCAATAATCCCTGATAACATCAGCAAAATACAGTTTTATAAAAAAGGACCCCTTAGAATGATTACAAACTGAAAAAAACGTTTGGGTACTATTTACCGAGAATGCCCTCATTTCCTTGCAAATCTAATATATCCATCACAAACAAATAACATAATAACATAACATAATTGACTACTGTTAATTGTACATAATTATTTATCACATTTTTTAGCTAAGACGTCTGATGCAAACAAGTGTGGGTTGGATGGCCAATATTCATTCAATGTAGCAAGTAAAGATGGCGTTGCTGTACCAGAACCAACTTGTTCAGGTATATAAGGATAGCTTATCGTTTGACCTGGCTTTGATTTAATAAATATTTAAGTCCCGTGACGTCGGTAAAAATGCATATTCACAAAGATGTGTGTACTATAATTGTGAAAAAATAAAACATATATTTCATTCTGTTTTCGGTGGATATCTGTAACAAAGTAGAATTACCTGGCGCTTTTTCAGTTTTTCAATTTATTAATTCTTCAATACATGTTTAAATACATTTCAGGAATCATCTCGGACTGGGATTCAGCAAACTGTTCTAGCAAAACAAAGTTGGATCTTGACCTTGATCTTGAAAAATGCCCCAGAATGATAGCTTTACAATGTATGTTTTTGAATCCAGTCTACTTTAGAAATATGAAGCCTAACATTTATTTAACGTTTAAAACAATAACAGTAGAGTACTCGCATATGTAAAACTTCAAAAACAACTTAATAAAGATCAGATAACTTTATTATCTTATCTTTAAGAGAATATGATATGTATTTCACCCTATATTTGTCTATGTCTGAATGCACTATGCACACGTATACTCTGAGCATTTATTCATGTTTTTGGTTTTGTTTTAAGCGTTTACCTGTCGGTTGGAATTAAAGTACAAACATGGAGTCAAAGTAATTATTACACAGAAGGATTATAGATCATCGTCTCTTACATGCTGGATAACGTTTATTAATTTCAATTGTTTATGGAGGTCTTATTTGGTTATTTTTTTCTAAATATATGATTGTAAGAAAACGCTATATGCGTCCAGAAGAATGTCCAGCGTATTCATTACAAATATGTTAATATATGTAACAAATTGCTGCTGAAAAAAAATAATAATAAGTTTTGATAAATCTTTTTCAAGCAACATACATGTAGATTTTCATAGAAATTGACTCACTGGAGTCACGGTGTGGTATCCAAACTCCGTGTATAATATGCACGCAGTTTGATACACTGACAAACTGCGCGCATATCAACATTGCATCGTACAGGTTGGAGTCTGTGTTTTCAAAGAAATCGCTATATCTTGGAAAATCCTAATCCAATTATGTTCATATTTTCAAATGATGCAAACAAGTGTGGGTTGGATGGCCAATATTCATTCAATGTAGCAAGTAAAGATGGCGTTGCTGTACCAGAACCAACTTGTTCAGGTATATAAGGATAGCTTTTCGTTTGTCCTGGCTTTGATTTAATAAATATTTAACTCCCGTGACGTCGGTAAAAATGCATATTCACAAAGATGTGTGTACTATAATTGTGAAAAAAATAAAACATATATTTCATTCTGTTTTCGGTGGATATCTGTAACAAAGTAGAATTACCTGGCGCTTTTTCAGTTTTTCAATTTATTAATTCTTCAATACATGTTTAAATACATTTCAGGAATCATCTCGGACTGGGATTCAGCAAACTGTTCTAGCAAAACAAAGTTGGATCTTTACCTTGATCTTGAAAAATGCCCCAGAATGATAGCTTTACAATGTATGTTTTTGAATCCAGTCTACTTTAGAAATATGAAGCCTAACATTTATTTAACGTTTAAAACAATAACAGTAGAGTACTCGCATATGTAAAACTTCAAAAACAACTTAATAAAGATCAGATAACTTTATTATCTTATCTTTAAGAGAATATGATATGTTTTTCACCCTATATTTGTCTATGTCTGAATGCACTATGCACACGTATACTCTGAGCATTTATTCATGTTTTTGGTTTTGTTTTAAGCGTTTACCTGTCGGTTGGAATTAAAGTACAAACATGGAGTCAAAGTAATTATTACACAGAAGGATTATAGATCATCGTCTCTTACATGCTGGATAACGTTTATTAATTTCAATTGTTTATGGAGGTCTTATTTGGTTATTTTTTTCTAAATATATGATTGTAAGAAAACGCTATATGCGTCCAGAAGAATGTCCAGCGTATTTATTACAAATATGTTAATATATGTAACAAATTGCTGCTGAAAAAAAATAATAATAAGTTTTGATAAATCTTTTTCAAGCAACATACATGTAGATTTTCATAGAAATTGACTCACTGGAGTCACGGTGTGGTATCCAAACTCCGTGTATAATATGCACGCAGTTTGATACACTGACAAACTGCGCGCATATCAACATTGCATCGTACAGGTTGGAGTCTGTGTTTTCAAAGAAATCGCTATATCTTGGAAAATCCTAATCCAATTATGTTCATATTTTCAGGAAAGAAAGAAGAGACTGTGTATGAATAGCCCCTGTTGTTAGTTAGTTGTAAAACATGATGTCTTGGACACTTGCTCAAAAGACAGTTGTACTAGCAAAATACGAAAAACGCGAATGGAAAATCACTATATCTTGGAAAATACTAATTCAATTATGTTCTTTTTTCAGGAAAAGAAAGAAGAGACAGTGTATGTATAGCTCTTGTTGTCAGAAAGTTGTAAAACATGATGCCTTGGACACCTGCTCAAACAGTTGTACTAGGAAAATATGAAAACGCAGTCAGAGACGACTGCCACAGCAATAAAACCAAATAACTTTCTAACCATGGTGTTTTGGCATTTCAGATTTGGCACAAATTATCCTCATTTAATGTGTGGTGAATTTCTGGAGTTTCATCAAAATTACTCCAGGGACTTTACAGTCATGGCCAAAATGCCTTCTTAAGTCTCCCTGAACCAAGTCGTTTGACTGCGATTTGAAAGCATTTCAACCATGACAGTGAAGTCCCTAAAGTGATTTTGATTTCACTCTACAGATTTACCATACAGTGAATGAAGATGGTTTGTGCCAAATTTGAAGAGCCAAAACACTATGGTTAGGAAGTAATTTAATTTTTTTGCGGTTGCAATCACCCCTGACTGCGTTTTTCGTATTTTCCTAGTACAACTGTCTTTTGAGCAGGTGTCCAAGGCATCATGTTTTACAACTTAACATTTACTGGAGCTATACATTCACAGTCTCTTCTTTATTTCCTGAAAATATGAACATAATTGAACCAGTATTTTTCAAGATATAGAAATTTCTTTGGGTTGCGTTTTTTTTAACACCCTGTAGTTTCATACGTCCATTCGGTGGTGATTAAATGATTCTACCATGTGATAGCGAAAACTATGTCCAGATGAACGTAGATTTTAAAATATAAGCAGATTGATAAAAAATTCCATTTGTTTTTCGATTACCGAGACATAAGTTGATGTTGCACTTTTCACAGAAATAGAAAATACTTGGGTTTTGTTTCATAGGTAAATCTGAACCCAGTTCTCACGTACAATACAAAAGATTTCGTATTAAATCAGATGATCATGAGACAAACAGACATTATTTGACCCAACATTGTATATTTTTAACAAGAAAGCTCCTTATGAACCTTATATTGCGATAACTTGGTTTACATCAGGGAAAAAATTTAGTGCTTCTTGTAAAGTAAGTTAGTCTCCACATAATGGTACTGTCTGATAAACAAAACTACCCTTGCATTTCCAGTACTTTTCATCCTTTTAGGAGTCGTGTCCTCCCCGCCTGTCATTTTTAAATATGCGTGCAGTTTGCGCCGTGGGGGTATTATCAATTATACAATTGTATATATTTATGTATTTCATACTTGAGTGGGTTTGGGGTAGATATCACCCGGGAATATATATCATATCTGAGGAGCGGGCAGGATATATTGTATGTGTCCCGCTCTAGGCCAAATGCGGGCAGATATAATATATCCATCCCGCTCCAGGGAATTTTTTCAAAAGTTTAAAAATTTTTTAAATTTAAATTTCAGAAGTTTAAAATTTTTCAAAAAGTTTAAATGTTACAATTCTATTGTATTGAGCTGAAGGAATATTATGAAAATGTTACATATAAATTGTGCTTTTACAGTATAGGCCTATCTTGTCATTTGAAAAAGGTGGTAACGGTTATATCTACCCCAAACCCACTGAAGTATGAGATACACCAGTTATGTACGGTCGGTTTTGGATGAAAACAAGGAATTAAGAAGTATTCACAAACTACCTTGCACGAGACTAAAGGAACTAAGTCTTACTAGAAAGGCGTTAGTTAATACGGAGGATTTATCCTCGCTTATTCTTGATGTACGGAATAGTGGTAAGTATTTTCTATGATGACTCGTATTGTTGACTGATTTTTACTTGGATCCTGTTTACTTTCTTTATCATATTTCATTTGTTTGTGTCCAAATATTAACTCTTCTGAAATTATAACGCAGTGAAAGGTGGTTTTGGTGGATAAGTGGATAATATGTACCAACATATCATATTGTGGGAGATGTGTGGTTGGGGACTCAAAATGACTTGTGAGTAAAGTAGATCAAGTAAAAAAGAATGAAAAAACATGTTTTACTGTTTTATTGAAGCCGATTAGAATGGATGTGGTAGTGGTATTCAACGAGCACTCCCGGACAATCATTCCAAAGTTGATAAAGGTCACCAGCGAAATCCGATCTACAAACCTCCAAAAAGTAGTATTAGCGCAATTAAGAAACCAACCAGTAGTGTGACCACACTAAACAATCATTCTTATAGCTCAATATTAATTATTCTGACATTATTCAATGTAGCATATTCATTATTCCGACAAATATGGATGACATAGGGCAAATTGCAAACCTAGCAATCTTGACTCTTGTAAATATATCTGTAAATAGATGGCGTGACTGTAGATAGTTATCATAGCATTGTATAGAATATACTGTTACGAAGACGTTAAAAGGCTAAAGTTGGACAAAAATGCAGTTTGTCAAACATGAATGGAACATATTTCACTTTATAAGTGGACAGTTTTGAAACCTGTAAATGTTCAATGTTGCCTTTACTGAGTTTAACCTATTGAATACCAAGATCGAGTACTCTTGACAAAACTTGTCCCAGCAAAGAAAATTTGGGGCTCATATCATTCCTTGTCATGTCATTTTCCAAAAATTGTGAATACTGTATTTGAAGAAAACTAAGGATTTTTACAATAATGCATTTATTATTTTATGGATATGGTTACCATATATGCATTAATTTGGAGAATTTACACATTTTCCCATTTTGGCCCTTTGAATCCTTAATAACCAATTCATGACATATCACTGATCTTTTTGGAGATATTATATTTGAGATTGTAAGGAATATATTTGTAAGTCAACTGTGCATGTTGTTACAATTTTGTCACTGCTTATAGATCTGATTCTGATTTTTATGACGTTATGCAAAGTATTCACAATTCTCTGGTAGTCAAGGGGTTAAATGCATCAAATGAAACACTGCGGATGTAAAGATGTAAATAACGTAGAAATCTGAGCTGATGCTTTAAAACACTGAAAACCTGCCGTGGTAGAAGTATCTGTTAAGTGATATTAGGGTATTGATAAATTACTCTTATATTTGTAAATAGTGTAGTCTAAGTGAGAAAGGACAGTATTATAAAAGAGGATACACACATTTTTGGTCCTATGTATGCATATGACGTTACTATATTATGTACGCGCAACCATTGCAAATAATCATGCGTGAAATGATGCGGCAAACACGTACAATGAGACGCCTTTACGCCGCTGGTTAAAATGTATCCATTTAAATTGATTGACGTTTTGATAAAACTATTGCGTAATGTGATATGACCTAGCTTTCTGTAAATCTGTAAATAAATTGGTTAATCGTTTGACATAAGTTGGGTCTCGAATAATGCGTACAATTCAAGCTTGGAGGTAATATCACTCATGAGTACATATATATATGCGTAAATTGCGTATGGTGCTTCTTGGAACTAAACTCATTGTCATACGCTACAATACCTTTCAAAAATAGACAGTGAATAATTTAATAAATGTGTCATCAAAGAATGTCACCGTCAACTGGTCAACACTGTATATGATATCATTAATAAGTATAAAATATAATTACAATTTAAAAACATGTATATAAAACTTCAGCGACGAGTGACCATTGTATATTTGTAATATCATTTTATATTGTATGTAATATATTATTTTATATGGTACATTGTCAACTGCTTTTTATTTGTCATTAATCTAAATAAAAACAACGGGCATGTTTTATTGATTAATAACATGTATGTGTGTTCATATAATGGCCTGAGTGAAAATACCACTACCTTTAAGAGTTTGCAGTTTGCGCTCCATCAACAGAATGTCTAGATCTGTTGTAGCAGATTAATTGAATATTTCCGACAGGAATCTATGACAGCTAGCATTGAACATATTTTGCATTAGGATAAAGAAAGTTCTGTGCGAGGATATATTCAGAAATAAATTTTGATTTTATATCAATTTGTTTTGTTAAGAATACCAAAAAATACGATTGACATATTTTTGTAGCCGATTGGCTTACTTGTAAATTGTCCACTAAAATATTTCATATTAAGGTTTCAGACTTTTAAATACTAAAAATAACGAATTAAACATCTCCATATAAATCAGTATGATACTTTATTTATAAACTTTTCGAACATATTAGTTCTGAGTAAATACTTCGCCCACTGCAAGACAGCGATTATAAATAATATTCCCATCTTGTTTGTGGAATGCACACTCGATTCCTTCGTCTTTGCAACAGCCATAATCACGAATTGTGTCACCATTATTTACACTACACAAATCACCCTCCTCCAGTTGACAGCAAGATTTCCCTTTACACTTTTAAAATAAAACTCAACAATAGAAAATGAACAATAAGTGTTGTCATTCATTTCGCGTGTGGTTGGCTTTTGAAATCACGAGCTGAGAAAAGTTCGGTAAAACGCATGTCCTTCTACAATTTCCAGTATATAATTACGTATTATTTAAGTTTATGTTGATTTAATAGTACACATGGCGACCATCAAAAATTAATTTATATTAAAAACCAATGTTTTCAATACCATCGGGCAGATATTCATGTATTTGTCTAAACAGTGCATTAAAATCTGTACATTCTTAACAATAACTTTAAAGAATTGCATTATCTATTCTAACCATGATTCTAAACCCTTGACACCTATAAAGTCTGTTTTCCCTGACCATATAAGTCCTTAAAAGTCTGTCACTGAACGTCCGAAAGTTTGAAAATTACACATCATTTCCAAAAGAATTCGTACATGTTTGAGCGGTTCCTTTTTTATGCGTACTGTTACACAATCGTTCATTTTCCCAACAACATTAGCAAAACGTGCATGTATGTACCTGTTCTTTTTTATTGCTGTGATCAAATCCACGTGTTTCCATGGCCGCGGTGGGCAGTAAGGCTATCACAATCACGATATGGCAGCTGCAGATCAGATATTATATAATATGAATATCATTTATTAGAAATTGAAGTTGATATATAGCTCCAATATAATTTATAAAAAAATCTATAATATACAGGTTGGGCCTAAAAACGTCCACATTTTTATTTTTGTAATATTTTGCTGATATGTTGGAAATATCTATAAATTATGTATATCATTGGAAAGATAATTCTATTTCCAACAAAATGATGTATGATTCACAAAATATGAATGTCTATTGGTGACTCTATGGTATTTTCCGTATCATGAGGTAGTAACAGTCGAAAACAAGAATCTTCTCTATGTTTTGTGCTTATTGCATAATATTGGATTGCTTAATCTTACCCTCTTCTAAGGCCACTTTATTATGGTTTTCGTCCAAAGATAATCCCTGCATGTTTTTACTGCTGTATACGGGTCATGTCGTAATCAGAAAATTTGAAATCAAATGTTCGCCATTTTTCCACATGACAATTTGAATTGCGAGTTTTGGTCTTATTACCTCACCAAAAATTCCAAAACACACATGAAGTGATCAATGTATTAGTTCACATCTTCTGGATCGCTAACTTAGAATTTACAGCCAGTTCCTAATGTCAGACAATAACGACATTTCGTCCAGTTTTCGAATTTTTCTTGGAGCTGTTTATTTTAATTTTAGACGAAATCATGCAATATCTCATCAAGGAGCCCAGCCAGTTCCATTTTAATTCATGATTTATTTGTCTGGCGATTTCTAAAATATTTAATAAAGGAGCACGTAGGTTATCGCAAACAATTTCAGACGGTTATATCTTGGTTTGTGACTATTTTCTGACAATGAAGACAGGTTTATCTTTTAGCCATTCATTATCTCAAAGAAAATTATATACAGTAATAATAAAGTCAAACAAATTCGGAGATGTTTAACTAGCAATCAACCCATCAACACACTTGTCAAAGATGTTTAACCTCATTTTCACTGAAAATGCAATCATTTTTTACATTGTTTAATGCATTACTATTTTTATTTTAGTGTATCAAATATTTCTTGAAAGAAAAACTTAATTGCTTTAAGATAAATGTTCCCCGTGTTATTTTTCCATTGAGAAATCTCATGCTATCCATTGGTTTCAGTTCATTTTGGTCATCCAAATTCAATATCTTTAAAGTACCTGGAACAATCAACTTTTCCTCTTAGGAAATAGAACATGTCTCAAAGCAAATTCTAATCATGCATTCAACAATATAATAAAAGGTTGCATTTTTGGTGAAAATTAGGTCAACATTTTGAAAAAGTAGGTTGATTGGTCCATTGTCTCTTCAATATCACTCAGGGTCTGACTAACTAAATTATCATTATAGTGCTGATACAAAATAATTGATAAGTCGAATAATTGGCATATTTTCTTGAATTTTAACATTTAATGTCCCAAACTCCCACAAACTGCAGAAAAGTATACACAGTAAATCATATTTACCAAAATGAGTGTCTCCAAGGCTTCATACCAGCGTATGCAAAATGCATTTGTCACGAGTTTGAGCTGAAATTTCGCTAAAATGAAGTAGGCTAAGGGTAGTCTCTGCCAGGTTTGTTTATTGTGGTTAGCTTGTAAGTGCTCAGAAGCAAATAATTCATGTGCGCAAAATAATCAAATAATCTGATTGGGTTAAACTTTGCTGCACATTTTTACAATGTGTGCCATGGCTTTTTCTAATGATTTCGTTTCGTTTAATGGAGTTTGCGTTTCAGTGTAACTTCCTCCAACATGGCGGACCAAGTACAGAATTAACATGTAAGATCACTTCGAATTTTTAAGAGAACTTTTCACCTATAATAGCAAAACTTTTGTTCTATTTGTGCATTCTATCTATTAGATAAGAGTCTCAGGACAAATTCAGACAAATTCATTTTGGTAGGAGCACTATGTTTAGTTTGAAAACGCACCTTTTATTATTATTATTATATATCAGCACTGTATATATACTTTTCTAAAAGATACACCCATGTTCATAATCAGAAAGTATTCATAATTCAAGTTAGAATTGTTTGAAATTGTTTGCGATAACCTATGTGCTCCTTTATAACACGTCGGCCAGCTTTCTTCAAATGGTTCACGGTGTTTCAGATGAAATTATTTCTAGCCAAGAATTGGCTAGAGACTCGAGTAAGCTTAATCAACACTTTTAGGCTTTTACAAAGAAAATGTATTGGAGTTGAGTTTTATTGTTTGAAAGTCATTTTATAGTTTTAAAATAATCGTGGAACCTATTTTCATGCATTGCTGTTCGTTATAAAGTTCAATTGTCATGATGATTTTAGCCTTATATAGGCATTACTTCCAACCATATTGCATTTTTAAATAAATTTTCTTTCATTTGACACATAAATCAGCAATTTTGACCGCCTATAATTAGAATTATATCCCAAAAGCTGACATAGGCCTGGTTATATCTGTCGGTCAGTTCTTAGCATTATGTATTCAACAATTGGCAAATCATGACATTGACCTTATGGTTATCAAAATGATATTTTAAGACAAATACTCATTTATATTGATTGAATTGAATATTATTTTGTTGGAAATTTATTTGACTTTCCAATGATATATGATTTATACATTTGTCTGTAATATCAACAACACTGTAGCAAAAGCAAAAATGCGGACGTTATTACGGATTCAAAGTGAAAAGTGCAAAAAAATTTAATTCTCCCAAATAATAACCATTCTAAAAAATAATTCATAATTGTAAAAATCTTTAGGTTTCCTGAGTTAAAGTGTGCACTTTGGGGATTTTTAGAAAAAAAGCCAGAAATATTCTAAAATTGAAACAATTTCTTGTTGGCCTGCTCGCGAGATCTGATTCTCTCTTTAATTTCTAAAAATTGTGTAGTAATGTTTGATGCGAATTGGATGCTAATTTTACTTAAGGAATAACTTGAAAATATACAATAATGGCAACATCAAATGTTGGAATAAAGTCTTCAGTTCGACATAACACGTTGACGTGTTGAGCTACATAAACATAAGGAGTAATGACAAACGCTATGTGTCTCCGTTTTGAGAATTCTAATAATACAAATAATATCATAGCAATATTTATAATAAAACTGACGCTGTTTCAATAAAGAAACGTAAGGACTACAATTTTAAAATTGACTAATAGTACTTACATATTCATCTTAGAGTGTCGTGTCCTTGTCGATGTATACTGTGAAGTTTTTAAAATACGGTCGGTGAAATGACACCACGTATTCAAGGTTTTTTATTATAAACATTATATCTAAATAATGGGATTCAAACATTTGATACTAGCTAGAACAAGCTGTGTACCAAAAATTGATACGGGATAGTAAAATTATGGTATTATGTATATGTTAGAGGTAAAAATGTCATTTATTATATTGGTCGATTTGTATGTTAAAACAAGGGCAAATTGGTTTAGTTATGTTATCACTTTAAAAGATTAAAACTACATGTATAGCAAATGTATTTGATACAATCCCTTCAACAATGGGTGAACATAATTCTCTTACCTTTCTAGGAAGGCAGGCTATGTCCCCTAACTCTGTGGGTGAACAGAGAATTCACAATTTAAGTCGAGAATTTATTTCAGATAATATATCACGTCCACATGCCTTGCTCCACTAGAATCTGTTCGATTAAATGCTTTTTAAAGGGAAAACCTAGAGAGAATACAGGGTGTTTAATGGATGAGTACATTTTCATATTAAATCTCTCTTTAAAATTGAACATTTTCTATTAGATGCTTGATATATTAGACATAGGCAAGCATTAGACTGTCATGCTGACAGCATTTATGCGTGGATTGAATATTTTAGATGCCGGATGTATGCATGTGTTGACAGTAAAATGTTATTATGAAGAACGTTGAATACTTTTGGAAATATCATATTTTATGTTGTTTTTGTGTTTTTTAAATATATTACATTTTATGTTGATCACTGTCTCATCTAGCTACATACCATGTATAATCAAAGATCTGTTTGAGACTAAACGTTTTTCGCTGGCGGGTGCCCAAATATCGAATGGGCAAAATATTTTCCGTGACTAAAGTTTGGGCCCTTAAACCAAAATTGGGCTCAAAATTTGAAAATTTAAGGCCCATTTTTTGATAATTCCAAAGGACAAATTATGGCCAAACAATTTTTGGGCCCTAAATTTATTTCTAGGCCCTCAAAAGGGGGGTGGACCCCATGTCTTCCTCCTCTATCCGCCAGTGCTTTTTAATAAATAACATTTTTTCATTTCAAGAGATAAGCCTCATCCATCTGAATCCGAAATTTTGATTGAAGATTCTGATAAAAAAGCGTATTCTTGAGACTAAATCTTTTTGGGATACTTTCCTTAATCGATATTTAAGGGCAAAAGTTTTACATACTTCGATGGTTAAAGTACGAAAGTGAGAAGTGCCCAATAGTCTACATATATTTTTCCATTGTAAATCCCCTTTTACCCAGTTCAGTAACTTTCAATCGAAAGACATGGCAAGTATTTTAGAAATGTCATCAAAAAATAGATATCAGTTAAAATGGTTAAACATCCCTTAGTACCAAGAATCAAAACGGACGAAATAGTTCCAAACAATTAGTTTTATTTTATTTTTATTTATTTATTTATTCAGTAAGCTATGTATTAAAATACAGACAATGAGCGGATGACACATTGTGTATATTTCCGACAGGGTAGTAAGTTGCCTACATAGAAACAGAGGGGGATACATTTAATATATCAGTTGCCTATTAGATTCCTTTTAGGATAAATAAATTTTGATAAATTCAAACAATATAGATTTTCAAAGTGGAAAATATTCTTAGTAGCTTGAAAAGATTAATTCACTGATATAATCCAAATTGTTTAAGTAATTCGTTTTTATCATCCAGATATTACTTGGTGATGGCGGTGAAAACAAGGAATTAAGAAGTATTCACAAACTACCTTGCACGAGACTAAAGGAACTAAGTCTTACTAGAAAGGCATTAGTTAATACGGAGGATTTATCCTCGCTTATTCTTGATGTACGGAATAGTGGTAAGTATTTTCTATGATGACTCGTATTGTTGACTGATTTTTACTTGGATCCAGTTTACTTTCGTTTGTTTGTGTCCAAATATTAACTCTTCTGAAATTAAAACGCAGTAAAAGGTGGTTTTGGTACTAAGTGGATAATATGTACCAACACATCACATTGTGAGGGATTTGTGGCTGGGGGACTCACAATGACTAGTAGGTAAAGTACATCAAGTAAAAAGAATGAATAAATATGTTTTACTGTTTCTATTGAAGGCGATGAGAATGGATGTGGTAGCGGTATACAACGAGCACCCCCGGACAATCATTCCAAAGTTGATAAAGGTCACCAGCGAAATCCGATCTACAAACCTCCAAAAAGTAGTATTAGCGCAATTAAGAAACCAACCAGTAGTGTGACCACACTAAACAATCATTCTTATAGCTCAATATTAATTTTTCTGACATTATTCAATGTAGCATATTCATTATTCCGACAAATACGGATGACATAGTAGCCTATAGGGCATATTGAAGTAAAAATTGCAAATCTGGCAATCTTGACTCTTGTAAATATATCTGTAAATAGATAGCGTGACTGTAGATAGTTATTATAGCGTTGTATAGAATATATAGTGATACGAAGACGTTAAAAGGCTAAAGTATGACAAATATGCAGTTTGTCAAAGAGAATGGAACATATTTCACTTTATAAGTGGACAGTTTTGAAACGTGTAAATGTTCAGTGTTGCCTTCACTGAGTTTAACCTATTGAATACCAAGATCGAGTACTCCTGACAATGATTGTCTCAACAAAGAATAGTTTGGGCTCATATCATTCCTTGTCATGTCATTTTCCGAAAATTGTGAATACTGTATCTGAAGAAAACTAACGATTTTTTCAATAATGCATTTATGGAGATGGTTACCATATGTATTATTTTGGAGAATTTACACATTTTTCCCCATTTTGACATTTGGATCCTTAATAACTTCACCAATTCATGACATATCAAAGATCTTTTCGAGGTATTATATTTGAGATTGTAAGGAATATATTTGTAAAACAACTGTGCATGTTGTTGCAATTTTGTCACTGCCTATAGATCTGATTTTTATGACGTTATGCAAAGTATTCACAATTCTCTGGTAGTCAAGGGGTTAAAGGCGTCAAATGAAACACTGCGGATGTAAAGATGTAAATAACATAGAAATCTGAGCTGATGCTTTAAAACACTGAAAACCTGCCGTGGTAGAAGTATCTGTTAAGTGATATTAGGGTATTGATATATTACTCTTATATTTGTAAATAGTGTAGTCTAAGTGAGAAAGGACAGTATTATAAAAGAGGATACACACACATTTTTGGTCCTTTGTATGCATATGAGGTTACTATATTATGTACGCGCAACCATTGCAAATAATCATGCGTGAAATGATGAGGCAAACACGTGCAATGAGACGCCTTTATGCCGCTGGTTAAAATGTATCCATTTAAATTGATTGACGTTTTGATAAAACTATTGCGTAATGCGATATGACCTAGCTTTCTGTAAATCTGTAAATAGATTGGTTAATCGTTTGACATAAGTTGGGTCTCAAATGGTCCGTACAATTCAAGCATGGGGGTAATATCACTCATTGAGTCATGAGTACATATATATATGCGTAAATTGCGTATGGTGCTTTTTGGAACTAGACTCATTGTCATACGCTACAATACCTTTCAAAAATAGACAGTGAATAATTTAATAAATGTGTCACCGTCAACTGGTCAACACTGTATATGATATCTTTAATAAGTATAAAATATAATTACAATTTAAAAACATGTATATAAAACTTCAGCGACGAGTGACCATTGTATATTTGTAATATCATTTTATATTGTATGTAATATATTATTTTATATGGTACATTGTCAACTGCTTTTTATTTGTCATTATTCTAAATGAAAACAACGGGCGTGTGTTTTATTGATTAATAACATGTATGTGTGTTCATATAATGGCCCGAGTGAAAATACCACTACCTTTTAGAGTTTGCAGTTTGTGCTACATCAATAAATGTCTGTTGTAGCAGATTAATTGAATATTCCCGACAGGAATCTAGGACAGCTAGCATTGAACTTGTTTCGTATTAGGATAAAGAAAGTTTTGTGCGAGGAATATTCAGAAATAAATTTTGATTTTGTATTAATTTGTTTTGTTGAATATACCAAAAAAGATACGATTGACATATTTTTTAGCCGATTGGCTCACTTGTAAATTGTTCACTCAAATATTTCATACTAAGGTTACAGACTTTTAAATACTAAAAAATTAAACACCACCATAAAATCAGTATGATACTTTATTGATAAACTTTTTGAACATATTAGTTCTGAGTAAATACTTCGCCCACTGCAAGACAGCGATTATAAATAATATTTCCATCCTGTTTGCGGAACGCGCACTCGATTCCTTCCTCTTTGCAACAGCCATAATCACGAATTGTGTCACCATTATTTACACTACACAAATCACCCTCCTTCAGTTGACAGCAAGATTTCCCTTTACACTTTTAAAATAAAAATCAACAATAGAAAATCAACAATACTAGTAAGTGTGGTGGCCATTTATTTCGCGTGTGGTTGGCTTTTGAAATCACGAGCTGAGAAAAGTTGGACATTTCTACATGCATACCTCAGTTTTTAACTGATGCTTCAGTAGAACGCATGTCCTTCTACAATTGCCAGTATATAATCATGTATAATTTAAGTTTATGTTGATTTAATAGTACACATGGCGACCAATGTTTTCAATACCATCTGGCAGATATTCATGTATTTGTCTAAACGGTGTATTAAAATCTGTACATTCTTAACAATAACTTTAAATTATCTATTCTAACCATGATTCTAAACCCTTGACACCTATAAAGTCTGTTTTCCCTGACCATATATCTAAATCCTTAAAAGTCTGTCACTGAACGTCCGAAAGTTTGAAAATTACACATCATGTCCAAAAGAATTCGTACATGTTTGAGCGGTTCCTTTTTTATGCGTGTTACACAATCGTTCATTTTCCCAACAACATTAGCAAAACGTGCATGTATGTACCTGTTCTTTTTTATTGCTGCGATCAAATCCACGTGTTTCCATGGCCGCGGTGAGCAGTAAGGCTATCACAATCACGATATGGCAGCTGCAGATCAGATATAATATAATATGAATATCATTTATTAGAAATTGAAGTTGATATATAGCTCCAATATAATTTATTAAAAAAATCTATAATATACAGGTTGGGCCTAAAAACGTCCACATTTTTATTTTTGTAATATTTTGCTGATATGTTGGAAATATCTATAAATTATATATATCATTGGAAAGATCATTCTATTTCCAACAAAATTATGTATGATTCACAAAATATGAATGTCTATTGGTGACTCTATGGTATTTTCCGTATCATGAGGTAGTAACAGTCGAAAACAAGAATCTTCTCTATGTTTTGTGCTTATTGCATAATATTGGGATTGCTTAATCTTACCCTCTTCTAAGGCCACTTTATCGTGGCCTTCGTCCAAAGATAATCCCTGCATGTTTTTACTGCTGTATACGGGTCATGTCGTAATCAGAAAATTTGAAATCAAATGTTCGCCATTTTTCCACATGACAATTTGAATTGCGAGTTTTGGTCTTATTACCTCACCAAAAATTCCAAAACACACATGAAGTGATCAATGTATTAGTTCACATCTTCTGGATCGCTTACTTAGAATTTACAGCCAGTTCCTAATGTCAGACAATAACGACATTTCGTCCAGTTTTCGAATTCTTCTTGGAGCCGTTTATTTTAATTTAAGACGAAATCATGCAATATCTCATCAAGGAGCCCAGCCAGTTCCATTTTATTCATGATTTATTTGTCTGGCGATTTTTAAAATATTTAATAAAGGAGCACGTAGGTTATCGCAAACAATTTCAGACGGTTATATCTTGGTTTGTGACTATTTTCTGACAATGAAGACAGGTTTATCTTTTAGCCATTCATTATCTCAAAGAAAATTATATACAGTAATAATAAAGTCAAACAAATTCGGAGATATTTAACTAGCAATCAACCCATCAACACACTTTTCAAAGATGTTTAACCTCATTTTCACTGAAAATGCAATCATTTTTTACATTGTTTAATGCATTACTATTTTTATTTTAGTGTATCAAATATTTCTTGAAAGAAAAACTTGATTGCTTTAAGATAAATGTTCCCCATGTTATTTTTCCATTGAGAAATCTCATGCTATCCATTGGTTTCAGTTCATTTTGGTCATCCAAATTCAATATCTTTAAAGTCCCTGGAACAATCAACTTTTCCTCTTAGGAAATAGAACATGTCTCAAAGCAAATTCTAATCATGCATTCAACAATATAATAAAAGGTTGCATTTTTGGTGAAAATTAGGTCAACATTTTGAAAAAGTAGGTTGATTGGTCCATTGCCTCTTCAATATCACTTAGGGTCTGATTAACTAAATTATCATTATAGTGCTGATACAAAATAATTGATAAGTCGAATAATTGGCATATTTTCTTGAATTTTAACATTTAATGTCCCAAACTCCCACAAACTGCAGAAAAGTATACACAGTAAATCATATTTACCAAAATGAGTGTCTCCAAGGCTTCATAAAATGAAGTAGGCTAAGGGTAGTCTCTGCCAGGTTTGTTTATTGTGGTTAGCTTGTAAGTGCTCAGAAGCAAATAATTCATGTGCGCAAAATAATCAAATAATCTGATTGGGTTAAACTTTGCTGCACATTTTTACAATGTGTGCCATGGCTTTTTCTAATGATTTCGTTTCGTTTAATGGAGTTTGCATTTCGGTGTAACTTCCTCCAACATGGCGGACCAAGTACAGAATTAACAGGTAAGATCACTTCGAATTTTTAAGAGAACTTTTCACCTATAATAGCAAAACTTTTGTTCTATTTGTGCATTCTATCTATTAGATAAGAGTCTCATGACAAATTCAGACAAATTCATTTTGGTAGGAGCACTCTGTTTAGTTTGAAAACGCACCTTTTATTATTATATATCAGCACTGTATATATACTTTTCTAAAAGATACACCCATGTTCATAATCAGAAAGTATTCATAATTCAAGTTAGAATTGTTTGAAATTGTTTGCGATAACCTATGTGCTCCTTTATAACACGACGGCCAACTTTCTTCAAATGGTTCACGGTGTTTCAGATGAAATTACTTCTAGCCAAGAAATGGCTAGAGACTCGAGTAAGCTTAATCAACACTTTTAGGCTTTTACAAAGAAAAGGTATTGGAGTTGAGTTTTATTGTTTGAAAGTCATTTTATAGTTTTAAAATAATCGTGGAACCTATTTTCATGAATTGCTATTCGTTATAAAGTTAAATTGTTAGATGCATTGAAATCTGCGATTTTAAATGTCAGATATTAGTTATAGAAGTACAACATCGTTTTTACCCATTTCATGATGATTTTAGCCTTATATAGGCATTACTTCCAACCATATTGCATTTTTAAATATATTTTCTTTCATTTGATACATAAATCAGCAATTTTGACCTTCTATAATTAGAATTACAGTATATCCCCAAAGCTGACATAGGGCGGATTATATTTGTCGGTCAGTTCTTAGCATTATGTATTCAACAATTGGCAAATCATGACGTTGACCCTATGGTCATCAAAATGATATTTTAAGACAAATACTCATTTATATTGATTAAATTGAATATCATTTTGTTGGAAATTTATTTGTCTTTCCAATGATATATGATTTATACATTTGTCTGTAATATCAACAACGCTGTAGCAAAAGCAAAAATGGGGACGTTATTACGGATTCAAACATATAACGGATGCAGAAATGGATGAAAATTATTTTTAATTCTCCCAAATAATGTCTCAGTGTCGAGAATTCTAATGATAAAAATAATATCATAGCAATATCAATGATAAACTGACGCTGTTTCAATAAAGAAACGTAAGGACTACAATTTTAAAATTGACTAATAGTACTTACATATTCATCTTAGAGTGTCGTGTCCTTGTCGATGTATACTGTGAAGTATTCAAAATACGGTCGGTGAAATGACACCACGTACGTATTCGAGGTATTTATTATACAAATTATATTTGAATAATGGGTTCTAAGCATTTAATACTGGCTAGAACAAGCTGTTGTCAAATAATGATACAGGATATTTAAAATAAGGTCGATTTATGTTAGAGGTAAAACATCATCTATTATATTTATTATATTTTTTATATTGGTCGTTTTGTATGTCAAAAACAAAGGCAAATTGGTTTTGTAAAATAACCATTCGGGTGTAGGCCAGTTTAGTTATGTTATTACTTTAAAAGATTAAAACTACATGACTTGTATAGCAAATGTATTTGATACAATCTCTTCAACAATGCATGGGTGGACATAATTCTATTACCTTTCTAGGAAGGCAGGCTATGTCCCCTATCACACGTCCACTTGCCTTGCTCCACTAGAATTCCCTGTGGAATTAATTAAATGCTTTTTAAAGGGAAAATCTAGAGAGAATACGGGGTGTTTTTAGATGAGTACACTTTCATATTAAATCTCTCTTTAAAACTGAACATTTTCTATTAGATGCTTGATGTATTAGACATAGGCAAGCATTAGACCGTCATGCTGTCTGGATTTATGCGTGGATTGAATATTTTAGATGCCGGATGTATGCATGTGTTGACAGTAAAATGTTATTTTGAAGAACGTTGACTACTTTTGGAAATATCATATTTTATGTTGTTTTTGTGTTTTTTAAATATTTTACATTTTATGTTGATCACTGTCTCATCTACATACCATGTATAATCAAAGATCTGTTTGAGACTAAACGTTTTTCGCTGGCGGGTGCCCAAATATCGAATGGGCAAAATATTTTCCGTGACTAAAGTTTGGGCCCTTAAACCAAAATTGGGCTCAAAATTTGAACATTTAAGGCCCATTTTTGATAATTCTAAAGGCAAAATTATGACCAAACAATTTTTGGGCCCTAAATTTATTTCTAGGCCCTCAAAAGGGGGTGGACCCCATGTCTTCCTCTATCCGCCAGTGCTTTTTAATAAATAACATTTTTTCATTTCAAAAGATAGACCTCGTCCATCTGAATCCGAAATTTTGATTGAAGATTCTGATAAAAGAGCGTATTCTTGAGACTAAATCTTTTTTGGATACTTTCCTTAGTTGATATTTTAGGGCAAAAGTTTTACATACTTCGATTGTTAAAGTACGAAAGTGAGAAGTGCCCAATAGTCTAGATATATTTTTCCTTTGTAAATCCCCTTTTACCCAGTTCAGTAACTTTTAATCGAAAGGCATGGCAAGTATTTTAGAAATGTCATCAAAAAATAGATGTCAGTTAAAATGGTTAAACATCCCTTAGTACCTCGAATCAAAACGGACGAAATAGTTCCAAACAATTAGTTTTATTTTATTTTTATTTATTTATTCAGTAAGCTATGTATTAAAATACAGACAATGAGCGGATGACACGTATTGTGTATATTTCCGACAGGGTAGTAAGTTGCCTACATAGAAACAGAGGGGGATCTGTTTTGTGTGCAAATGCTTATAATGGGTGGTAGCTCAAAGGTGTGTCATAGAGGTATTCAATTATTAACAAAGTACTTTTTCAGCTCTCTTTTCATGATGGGAACACTTTGAGAAGATTGAATCTTGTTTGGTAATTGATTCCAAATTGTTGGTGCTGCGAAGGTTAACATTTTTAAGAATGTTGACATGAAAATGCTTAACTACTATTGAAAAGAGAAGGTCATTCTTTTTCAATATCATAGTATGACTCCACGATATTTAACAACTTTTTAGAACTGCTTAACATAAATTGCAGTGAGGAAGTAGCATTTTCTTTTGATGAGAAATGGCTTCAAATGTAGACGATCATTGGAAGCTTTAACTGCCCTGAATACATGAATGTAATATACCCTCGGGAATATAGCACAGCAAGGGATGGAAAAATTCAGGGTTAGACAAACAGTCACGTTCTATCTATCTATGTGGGAGCTCACATTGGCAAATATTTTCATTGTGAAATACAAAGAATAAGATACAAACGAAACAAAAACATTTGAACCAGAAGTGTGGTTTTGACTCACATGGTGAGCCTGGAATCCCTAATTCGCCACACACTGATTCTACTCTATTAAGAATTGTGTCCATTACCAACACCGTTGTGGAAGAACAACGTTTATTTCATTAAGTGCAGAGAGAGTAAATGAAGATGTTGATTAAGACAAAGCCAAGTGAATTAAAAAACAACAATTTCGAATTTTGTCATACGGGGAAAGTTTTTTTTGCTGAATCACATGTCTTACGTTAAGTCTCTTGTTGACTGCAGCAGACTCATCCACTTTACGCTTATAGATAGCTTAACATTGAGACCATACATTTCATAGAAAAGGGTATCCATAATTCTAGCATTAACGCCAAATACACTAAAACGAACACTGATCAAACACTACATCACATTGTAATAATTTTTATGATTAAGATTATGGTGATTTTGAAATACAAATTTTCGTTTTATTGCTAAAACTTCATCAGGTAAACAGTTAAAATTTGACATCAAAATCATTTTACTGTTTTTAACACTAATTATCATTATACATTGAAATTATGAAAAAAACAATAAACTATAAAACAAAAATAGATTTTCCTTTGGAAAGAAGTGATACCTTCCACGGCCCTTTTCATTTTGTGAATACAAGTCCTAATATTTATTTGGGCCTTCAATTGAGTGAGTTCCTTCTCTGCGCCCTTCTTCAACTCTGTGCAGTCCTTGTTCTCTTACTAAATCATCATCTAAACGTTCGTAGTTATTAGGTGCATTGGACAAACTGCTAAGGCATGGGTACGACTACGCACTGTACTACTATACCAGGATTGCAACAACATTATTGTCTCTGATTTACTCTGATTCAAGTAATAAACTCTCTGACCAAATGCACAAGTTGGACAGAATTTCTGTACAAATGCATCCACCTTCGGTTCGTGCTTTGTACGACTCGTGCCGAATTTCACCATATTGAATGGCCTATCGTCATTTATTCCTTAAATATATCTATGGACCAACTGTGATGGTTTATGTGAAAGTGTTATAATACATTTTATTTCTACATTTCATTATTTTGCTTTTGCACTTCATATTTTCACAAATTTTCATTAAAAACTCATTAATATATCACAAAAAGAAAAAGGAGCACACTATTTGTATTTGAATGATGGTGCATAGCTAGGGAATCAATCAGAATTACGGCGTACGGGTCTCCGAGTCTTTCAGAACGGGGCTTTACCTACGGCGGGTGATAGGCCTCTACTAGCCCCCGTCGCCGTCCCTTTTAGCGCCCTCGGAGTCGGGTTGTTTGTGAATGGCAAAATGACACACTTTTCGAGCGAATGATAATCCTGTGCAGACTGTGTGACATTGATGTATTCTTCTGTAGACGCCGACTGCCGAACATCAACTGCCAAATACCGTATGTCCACAAAACATTTGAAGAATATAACATAGATAAACATATAGTAGTTAAAATAGCATATTCAACATTACAAATATTTTATTATTTCATAAAGTAAGTGATTATACTGTATTATTGTCAAAACATCTCTTCAATTGCCATAAACTAGTGAATCGCTATAAACTACATACAGGGGTACGCACCCCTATAGGGCGTATAAAAAACGCAACAAGTAGTTATCTCGTAAAATCACAAAACTAGTGATGACTACATCAATTTCATTCAATGTACCACAAAGCCACGTCTCTCCTCTTTGCAATGATATACTGCTGATGGTTGGGTGAGAAATCCTTCCATTTGCACAGTGGGTCAAAATCGGCGCTTGGCTAAGTTTTAGATATTGAAAAAATCAGTGCAAGGGCTAAGTGCCAATGGAAGTTCCCTTGACTTGAATTCTTGTGACTTGACACCTTCTTCCAATAGCCCCTTTGCCCGTTGTACTGACTTTTGCAATGTTTAAAACTTGGGTCCGACCTGAATTTTGCCCCACTTTGCAAAATCAATGATTATTCGGCCAGCCATGATTCCCTGTGAATGAATGATATTCCATTGCAAAGAGGAGTAATCCGGCTTTTTGGTACATTGAATGAAAAGGATGCAATCAGCATTGGTTTTATGTTTTCTTCCAATATTGCATCAGGCTCCGTACACTGACTTTTGCGATTTTTATAACTTGGCCAAAAGCTAATTTTGGCGCACTTTGCAAATGGAATGATTACTCGCCCAACCATGACCAAATATCAATGAATGATATATCATTGTAAAAAGGAGACACGTGGCTTTACGGTGCATTGAATGAAATCAATGCTGTTAACACTGGTTTTGTACTTTTCCGAGATAACAATCAGTTGAGTTTTTTTTATACGCACTGTATAGTTATATTTACAAACACGTTTCACTATATTGTCTTCCCTCCATCTGATGAACTCTAAAGTAATGTTTACAAATACGTTTCACTACGTTGTTATGCCCTTTCAGCTGATGACCCCTCCCCCTCCCACTGAAGAGTCTTAGAGTAGTATTTACAATTACGTTCGACTATGTTGCAAATTGTTGCAGCTACAAGTTTCAACTCAATTCATAGTTTGTTACTGTTTCTACATCCGTCCGTTTCTCACTAGTGATAGTGCGCAATTACACCGAATTAGTCGGGCCAATCAAAACCTTAATGAAGCAGGGTAAGGGGAGACGCAATACGACCCTCTAGTTAAACAGTACTCCTCTATTTGTTTGGATTAATTGAATCTACTAAGGGTCGATGTCAAAATTAAGAAATCTGTCTTGAGTTCAGCTTTCCTTGTTCAATCATACTGAAGTCTTTGCCTGATCGATTGAGCTTAAAGTCCCTGGTTTTATGTGATGTGACGTAGTGTAGCGATGAGTCTCGTTGTTTACGATTGACATTCTTGTCCAAGAGGAGGTCATTCTTTGGAAGACTTGATTTTCCAACAATTTTTTTTAATATTACATCCCCTTCAATTTGGCACCTGCATAGGATAGCATTTTAAGCCTTTTGACATCTCAGTTCTGTTCTTCAATAACAAGTCAAAACTATTCAGGTTTTATGTTTAATCGCCACCAAAAATTGGCTTGAATTCGTACATGGTTCTCAATGGGCACTTTCGGTTGTCAAACCGGATGCGAGTGTGGGCTACTAGTGGTGTATAAATTGAGTACTATACACCAGTTCTTGCAAAAAAACGTATAGCGTTCATTCATTTCTAAAGGGCATTTGCCATTATTAGATGCAATCATTTTGGGAACATCACATTACCCGTACCAAGGCATGATTATCAATCAATATAGTTTCGGTTTTTCGGATACATTATGATTGGCTGTTACTATGGTAGCATTTGAGAACGTCCCCGAACATAAGGCATTTGATAAAACTGTTACGATACCAACTCCAGAGAGTATGCCCAACGCTAGCGTTCACTCTAGTAGAGGAGTAAAGGATTGTCACTGAAAAGTGGGTCTCAGAAACGATACAAAGACCACATAGAAGTATCCCTAACCTCAAGCAAACAAAAGGTAAGCCTGATATACATCACTTTTCTTCTAGCGCCAGCGTTATATCAGTTACTCTAATTATAAGTTATGTTTTGTTTAGATCAACATTTATTTAGCGAATTTATCCTTTGTGTTAAACAATTTGTTAATGTTGGCTTTGTTTAGAACTTCTAAAGTGGTCTAGTGATAAAATATCTGGGAGGATCGTAAACTTTCGAATCAACCAGCTCGTTTCACTTTGGCCTGGAGAAAATTCATCCATTAGAAGCTTGTTTTAATGTTATCTACTACTAAATACAAGTGTGTGGGATGTTTGGATCATCATCTATTCATAATTAGCGTGTTTCGTTTAAAATACATCTTTGTGCCCTTACTAGTGTGAATAAGCAACTTAAAGAGCACTTCTTGTTCGGACGTTTGATCGTTGATCGAATATTTTGGATAAATGGGTTCGCACAATGTACATATCATTTCAATTTTACGATTAATATTGTATTGAAAACTTGAAACCAAACATGTCAATGGAATGATGTTTTGACACAACATAACAGTTTAAAAAAGATATTTATACAGTATCATATTATAAAAGTAAACGATTTACTGAGGTACAGTAACGACCGGATTACTAAAAGACACGAGACGAAGAGGAAGGTTAAAAGTCGGATTGATGACAAATAAATAACATTTAATTGCACAGGTCAGTATTGTTTAAGAATTGTATAATAAATGAGAATATTACGATAACGATTATTTGCCATAATTATTGGAATTTTTACCAATAGCTATATAATATATGGGACTAAGTTTGTATTCGCGAATTCAACTTTCGACTGTCGGCTAATGGATTAACCTACTATTTTTTGGGCAACTCATTTAAATATGAATAGTACCTGCCACTATTCCATTCATATTTAAATGAGTTGATCATAAAATAGAGTTGGTCATAAAATAGCTTAATCCGGTAGCCGACAGCCGAAAGTTGCATTCATGAATACAAGCTAAGTCTAATAACGTATCACACTTTCAAAAAATAATTGTTTTGAGCTGACAATGAGTGTTACATATTTTAAAGCCTTTACTTTTTAAACGTCTTACTTACACATGTTTCTTTACGCGAACAAACATCACCTATTATGTTATAACAAAAACTCGTCGAAGTCAAATCAATACTTTTATAAGAACATTTTAGCTTTCTTAGAAATCTACTTAATGTATTTGCATTGAGTAACTTGCAAATTTTTGCTCTTTTGCATACAATCATAAGTTATTCGAGAGTTTAATATCGAACAACCTTGACCGTGTGTGAGGTCATTGACTTATCTCAAACTTCCTAAGCATCATCCTAACCTTGGCCATCTATTGTGTTGGGTTCATTGGTTTAAACTCTTGGATATCAAGAGCGAAATTTCGCAAAATTTCTCACCAAATGGGTACTTACTTTGGCAATGTTTAAATCCATTTACATTTTACATTCTGGCTATTTTAGATATACGAGGGTTGATTCAAAAGTTATGCTTTTTCAGCATTACCAGCACTTGTATTATGTAAGTTATGTTAGCGTGGTGCAAAACGTTCTTACTATACAACAATAAAGTCGGAATGGTGTTTTAAACAGTTTTACAGTTGATATATATAATAGATAAAACATTTTGGGAAATCGGACCACATATGTATTGACTAATGACATTGATATTTATTGAACGTCCCTCAAGCATGGAGTGTTTTCAATGTTCGCTAGTTAGTGTATCACGTGATGTCTGAAACCGAAAGTGCCAATTAATACATATTTTTGTTTATTTTTCCGATCTCTGTGTTTCATATTACTTGGCCATGAGTAAGCGATGTTCACCTTCATGCACCCAGTCAACCATGTTAAGAAAGTTGATCCCACGCGAATTGAGAAATAATCACAAATGTTGTGTACCTGTTTATACATATTATGTAACTAATTGCTGCGTTCTATGAGAGAATTACTTGGAATGGGGAAATATTTTAGATTAATGTACGGTAATGTCGATTTAGTAGAGAATCTGTTTAGTTTATCTTTATTTGAAAAGCTTAATGTATTTATTTCTTAAGTCATGTCAAGTATGATAAAAGCATCAAACTTTTCAATTAAGATGATAATACTTGATTCCCAATTAGAAGATCTCTCTTCCGGCTAATTTGACCTGCCCAGCTGATTCGTATAGTCGTTGTGTCTCGACAAAGCAACGTTTACAGGAGTATTGTGTTCCTTATAAACACACTACCACCGTCTCCAAGACACAAATACCTGAAACTGAACTTCTGGTATTAGTATTAAGTAAACGTTGTAAGAGTAGATGGCCCTAATTAGTTAACCTTTAATCCGCTCGAAATCTGCAAAGCCGATGTGTATATTAGTTTTGACGTTATTGCTTTCACTTTTCGATCCGATCTTATAAGATCTAATTGATATTGACGGAAGTATGTCGATGGTCTCTATTTGTTACCCTCCATAAGAGTTTGTTACCCTCCATAAGAGTAGATTGTTACTGTCCATAAGAGTTTGTTACTCTCCATAAGAATTCGTTACCCTCCATAAAGGTTTGTTCTACACCCTTTTTATTAGAGATAATTTTTGGATCCAGTTTAAATCGCGCCTAAAGCATCTAACAATACACGCTCAAGTAGGGAGGTAAAGTTATACGATTTAAAAGAAATTGAAATGTCCTTAAAGAACAATTTAGAGGGGAAGAGTAATGTGACTGATATGTCATTATATGACATGATTTTGAGTCAATAAAAGCTAGTTCTTCCAAAAAATAGTTCGATTATATCTTTAAAAATTGATTTAAGAGAAAAACATTGTTGAATTCAGTTCACCATAGCGATACTTATCCTTTGCATGACCAGAACGTTGAAATTGATAAGTTTATATCAGTCCCTCGAAAATATGATGGTCTGGGACGTTTGGATGTTATAAGAATTATAAGTCAATATGTGTTTCATATTCGGTAAATAATTCCACAATTCTACATTTTTATGTCACCACCAAAAGTGGTGACATATTGTTATGGTCTCCGTTTTTTTGCGACGGCGGTTGGAGGTTGGCGTCCGGCGTCTGTAACAATTTCTTACAACTTCCTATAACTTAACAAATACTGTTTAGACTGACTTCATTTTTTTCTAAATCATCTACATGTTCTCAGAAGTTCAAATCTGACTTTAGATTTGACATTTGACCTTCAATGACCTTCTCAAGGTCAAAAAGGTCTTTTTTCAACTTGCTTCACATTGACTAATTTTTTTTTCAAAATCATCTACATGTTCTCAGAAATTCAAATCTGACTTTAGATTTGACATTTGACCTTCAAATCTGACTTTTGATTTGACATTTGACCTTCAATGACCTTCTCAAGGTCAAAAGAGGTCAAAAAGGTCTGTTTTCAACTTGCTTCAAATTGACTAAAAAAAAATTTCAAAATCATCTACGTGTTCTCAGAAATTCAAATCTGACTTAAGATTTGACTTAAGATTGAACATTTGACCTTCAATGACCTTCTCAAGGTCAAAAAAGGTCAAAAAGGTCTGTATTCAACTTGCTTCAAATTGACTAAAAAAAATTTTCAAAATCATCTACGTGTTCTCAGACATTCAAATCTGACTTTAGATTTGACTTAAGACTTGACATTTGACCTTCAATGACCTTCTCAAAGTCAAAAAAGGTCAAAAAGGTCTTTTTTCAACTTGCTTCAAATTGACTAAATTTTTTTTCAAAATCATCTACATTTTCTCAGAAATTCAAATCTGACTTTAGATTTGACATTTGACCTTCAATGACCTTCTCAATGTCAAAAAAGTTCAAAAAGGTATTTTTTCATCTTGCTTCAAATTGACTAAAATTTTTTTTTCAAAATCATCTACATGTTCTCAGAAATTCAAATATGACTTTAGATTTGACTTTAGATTTGACATTTGACCTTCAATGACCTTCTCAAGGTCAAAAAAGGTCTTTTTTCAACTTGCTTCAAATTGACTAATTTATTTTTTCAAAATCATCTACATGTTCTCAGAAATTCAAATTTGACTTTAGATTTGACATTTGACCTTTAATGACCTTCTCAATGTCAAAAAAGGTCAAAAAGGTCTGTTTTCAACTTGCTTCATCTACAAGATCCCAAAAGCTCAAATCTTCGAAAACCTTCTTAAGGTCAAAAGGTATTTTCCAACTTGCTTTAAATTGACCAAATTGTTTTAGGTGGTGACATTTTGTCATGTTAATGCCTTGTTATCTTTGTCGTTCACTAACGAAGTGAGCATCGATGTTTATTTGTGAATCCTTAAAGCCCAGATGCAAACCTGAAAAAATGAAAAGGTGTATCATTCAAGCATGATTTCTTATGACAAAACAAGTTGATTTAGATATCTTTCAAGAGTGGATTGAAAAAGAATGTTGAATCAAGTCGTGGTATAGGCCAGGGGAGTTCACGTCGCCAAGTCCTTGAGGATACTATTGGTTTCAATGAGAACTAAAATGGGTTAATTCTTCGCTTTTCTCAAATGTTTTCAGATCATTTTTTTTACTTTATAAAACAAGTTTTTCAACATTTTCAAACAAAGAATGCTTGAGGTTGTTCAAAGAATTATTTTTGTATTCATTAATTTAAAATATATATGTATTTCTTACATATTTGAAATTTCGATATGCAACTTTATCATAAAACTCTCTATTTGTTAGACCTAAATAAACATACAATTCACATGGCATTCAATGATATTTCTTCAATGAAATATGTGTTGAATCACCAACAATAAAAAAAATGAATTCGTCGATGTTATTTTTTGGTCTCCTTTATATATTTATTTGGCTTGAGGCAATTCCATTTACTGCCCCGATACTTCAGATCAATGGAATCAGAATCAGATATCAAAGACGTTCGTACTTGAAAATAGCGTAAACTTAGACAGGTATAATCACTTTTTATGTGCTATATGTCTTATATATGTCTTACTGCATATGAATCCAGGTAAGTGCTGAAATATTTTTGTACGAATTATATTTTGTACATTTTTTTGTTCTGTCAATTGTTCGATCTCGATAGAAATTGATCGTTTTCAGGAGACCATTCAAATAGATAAATAAATTGTAATGATGTAAACAGACAGTTAAAAACTAATGGTGTACAAAAAGATATTCATGTCAACATTGCCTTGTTTGCACGTGTAAGCGACATTGCATTCGAAGAGCCATAACAGCCTGATAAAATTGAAAACAACACTAAATGCAAAGAATATCTGATTTTGGCAATTGATGATTTAGTCTAGAAAATTGCGCAAGCTTGTTTGTATATTTTAAATCATGACGCCACGTTACCGAAAAATATGTTAGATGGAAAATTAACGTAAACTTGACATCCAAACTCGACTTTATAAATTCACCATATAAAGTTAGATTACTTTATGAATTGATACACATAGTAATCAATTAACCTCTGATTGTGTTGGATTGGTTACTTGTAAAACTATGCGGCACTCTGTACAGATAATCTAATAGGAAACATACAAAATTTGATTTGAGGGAGATGAGGCTATAGGCTAATGAATCCTTGTATTATTTCCTTCTTTAGTTTTAGCTATAAGGGGAACACTATCCAGAGCAACAATATACAAACTTATTTGATAAATCATCGTTGGCGATGAAACACTTTTAATTCGGACTACGCGAATTAAACTGGTTAACTAAGGTTAGAGCACAAGTTCTGGGAATTATAATTAAAAATGATGAACGAATATTTCTACTTGATTTTACGCCACCTTTTGAGTGCCCTCGAAACAATTTATTTAGTAAGCAGTGAGTACTATTGAGTATTCATTCAAGATACCATTTGGTTTTGAATGTTGTATGTAATTGACGTGTAAGAATGGATCGAAGAAATTATACGTCAGTTTGATTAAGTTTTACAAACATGAACCACGAAGTCATAAAACTGGAGGATTAGGCTTTGATAATCCCTGTCTGTCTGTTTGATTTCTTAATCGCATTATGTCGCAAACAGTGCAGTTCTCTGTTCTCATAGAAAAGGTCTCACTAAAAAATATTGTGGTGTCTGCCAGGTTTACGCTACTTGTACATGTACGTTGATTTTAGGGCTGTGAAAGTATAAACAAATATAATATTGACCCCTGATCATTTTTCTGGTTCTATTGATTTAAGAATGTATTTAAGAATTATTAAAGCTCATTCTTTCAAGTGGCCTCATCATTCAAGTCAAAAGTAACACACCCTTTCAATTAGATACCAGATTAAGTTGTATCAGTAACGTGTTTGGCATATATTCCAAACATCATTTTTTACATCGCAAGGAGCACAAAGTTTCAGTCTTTTTCGAAGTCTCTCATATTCTAAACATGGACTAGAGATTATATTGGATTAATTTTCATTATCCCTTCATTACCTTCTGCCAAAGAGTGATCGAGTAGTATTACTTTTTGAGCCCTACCTTTGGAGAATCACGATAGTCTGTCTTGTTTTCCTCCAGCTTGACCAGCTCCCATCATAACCATGACCAAGTCATGGAATAACATGAAATAGGCGTAGCCAGGGGGTGCGATGGGTACGATCGCACCCCCCCCCTCGCAGAATCTCCATAAAAAATAAAACCTGTAGATAGAAGAAAGAGCTTTAAAATGCTTTTTATTTGAAGCTTCTAGCTCAATTTTGAATGAAATTGCATCATTTTTTGTAAAATTCAAAACCATTTTTGCCTTGCTTATGTCCCTGACTGAAAACCTAAAAAAATTAGGCGATCGCACCCCCCCCCCCCCCGGGCTGAAAGCTGGCTACGCCCCTGCAGGCATGGTGTATCAGCATAGTTAACTAACCACTTGTGTTCATTGTAGGAGTTTACCATGGTGGAGGCCAACATTCCTGGCCTTGTCTCTATAGGCCTGTTCTATATCTTGATTCTCGCCATTGGCATTTGGGCAGGACGGAAGACCAAACAGAGGGGGAATGATGCGACGGTGGAAAACATAATGCTCGCGTCAAGGAACATCGGTCCAGTTGTCGGGGTCTTCTCCACTGCAGGTACGTAAATGTCATTCATCCTATATGGCAATATCAAATGTGAGGTAGACTAGGGTTGCCAAACTTTTAGAGGAGGTGGTCTGCACGAAATGTAATTGTGTTTATTAATATTATGTTATTGAAAGAAATACAAAGATAAGTGTTATTTTGCAATTATTAAGAACCTCAGGAATCCCTTAACTTGAATCGCCTCACATATTTTCATGTGCAAGTCACACACTCATTGGATTTTTTGAAATATGAAATTTTGGCATACGTTTGCTAAGTTTCACCTGTTATGAAGGCAAGCGGGTCAAGTATAAGAAAAACATTCAATTGAACCCCAACAGGTTTATGTCTGAGAATTCCTTGAAATATTTGGAAATTATTTCAGTCATTCTCTTCTGGTTGAAAACTCCACTGTCGCAATTCTTTATATTATTTGAAGAATCAGATAATACAACTACATGTTGGCGTGAGCCGTCAACGTCATTTCTGATTAAACTATAAATAATGTCCTTAATGATAAAGATGCTTTCAATGTATCTATCAATCTGTCAATGAAACATATACCGTAAATAAAAAATGATACTTTGGAAGAAATGTTTATAAACTGCGGACACTATTATTTATATATTTATCGTTATCTTTGACAGTATGATATCTCGGACCTTTGAAATGTGAAGTAAAACTGAAAATGTTAACATGGATTTAAGTATAAATTAATGAGTAGATCAAGATTTAAAAATCTGCTGTTCAAGTGACTTTACGATTGAAGTTCTGGTATATGGTAAAAAAAATGGTGAGTTTTTTAAAAAGAGTAAAATGTGCATTTAATGTCCATGATCAATCTCCCGATGAAATAATAAAACAAGGCGTGTGTGGTCGGTTAAAATAGCTTGTCTGTTAGACTTGTCATCGCCAGGAGGGGTGTGAGTGTATACACCGCGATCCCCGGGGTTACGATGGTCAGTCTAAGATACTGTGTTTTACAAACCCCATTTACGCAACGTACTCGACAACCCCTAAAACCGCCAAAACCGTTTGTTACGCGGTAAACACGATACAAAAATATGTCATATTCCGCAACGAATATGGCATATTCAATTGCGGTGTATGACAGATTCACCTGCGGTAAATGGCATACAAACTAACCAATAAAAATGTGATACGGAAGTACGCAATTGTCAATTGCATCGATTTAATGAAATAGTAAAACGTTATTAATTATTGTAATGATTACTGAATCAACAGTACTGTGTATCGAATATATTAACTTAGCAGAAGTATCAGTCACCAATCTCGCGTAATAAACTTACTCAATCAATCCAGAATTCATATATTAGTACTCGACGCACTAACTATAATGGTAATACAGCGTAGTTTTACATTTAGAGTCGATTCTCGCAACCAATCAAATCAAGGCTTTCTGTATCACGTTTTCACCTGCGGTATATGTCATATTCACCTGCGGTATATGGCATATTCCGCAAGTGAGTATGACATATTCCGCAGGTGAGTATCGGGTATTCACTGAAATCAATGTATCGCATATTCACTGCGGAATATCGCATACTCACCTGCGGAATATGCCATATACCGCAGGTGAGTATGGCATATTCACCCGTATCACAAATACCACGCAACCATGAATGTATGCCATATACCGCGTAACACCGTTTACAACTGATTTTCATTTTTCTCATAATGTCGCTCATTTTGCTTATACAAGTTCATGATGACTGATATTTTCGGGACATAGTAAAGACTAATGTTAAACGTTTAGACGTTTTTTTGAAGTTCTTGATTTTCTTTTACGATGTGTCAAAGTGCCTTGTAATAAAAATATCGATATACGAATATGTAACTCCATAAGTAGCATGTCTAGCGAGTAAGCAAATCAGAAACGCACACTGCGTTTAATCTAGATCCGATCGCGATTTAATTCTTATTCGACGTTCCTTTAAAAATTTGGATAAACTACTTTTCTAGTTTTATATGTACTTTTATAGAGGCTCATGACTGTGGTGTGTCAACGTTATTAATTGTAAATCTATTTCATTTAACGTTAATCTGCAGTCATAAAACGTGGCTAGCTTGGAATTTTACTAAGGGTAGCCCCCCAAGCCATGATTACATCTGGGATAAACCCCGGTGATAATAAAGTAGTACATTTTAACACTCCAGAGCAAATTTGTTGTATTGATTCTTGTCACTCTTCTGCAAATTGATAATTAATTCGTCTCTAACTAACACAAAATACTAGTGCCTTTTCTTATATCGATAATTATTCATTCGCAGTTGTTATTTGCACTTATGTGTTTGGCTAATTGAACCGGAAATCAAAGGCATCGTTCGTTGTCGTAAAATAATGCGTCAAGAGGAGGAGAACCCCCATAGTTCATAATTGAATTTGCAACTACCTCTTCTTCGTTTGTCATAAACTTTGAGAACATGACACAATACGTTGATGTGATGTTGTAATCGATATAAACTGATTCCTTACATCTTTCTTTATTTTGGTGTGAAATAACAAACTATAATATTGGTAAATAAGCCAAAAATTAACACTATAAAATAAGAAGCATTCTTAAAAAATCTGCCACTTCGTTTCAGTTACTTCCCGATCTATAAGAATTAACATTTAATCATTTGACCAATCAGCGACGATGATGTAGTAGGTTTTGCAATTGTCAGTCATAGACCAATAAAGGGATTCTTCTCTACATCAACACAGATTTATCAATTTTGGACTTCTCTCTTGTACCCATCCCCAACCCATTTTACATCCAAACAATGTACACTCCCCTCCATAAGTTTGGCAACCTAAGCCCCCCCCCCCCCCCATTGAACTACGTGTTAAAGCCTCTTTACCTTTGAATTTTTATTTACTTAACCTGCGATGAAAATACTTATACAATTGATTGAAACGTAATTTGACTTTATTTCCAATACCTCCAAATTTTCTTTGATTGAGGAAAATGGTAGGTTTGCCGCAAGTCATATGACAGAATATCCATCACTCCGAGTGCTTTTGAAAAATATAAGTTAGGTAGGCAATTGAATTTGCTTACTTTATTCAACAAAACATTAATACCTTTCTTCAGGATCAGTACAGTTATAGGTCTTTAAAGTCAAAATTATTTTTAAAAAAAAATTTCCCATTGAAATAACACAGGAGGCGAAAAATTATTTTCAAAAATGACTTTGAAGCTCTGTAGCGTTAGTATTCGTCAAGTAAGCTAAACACTTAGTGTACAAAAAAGTTAGACAATTCAATTTTCTATATAAAAATATTTTTCTGAATCTTTTACTGAATAGATATCCTGATATCTGATTTGCCCCGAACCCACAATTTCCCATTGGTTTACATGGGAATGACGATTTTCAAAAATTCATCATCATCAATTTTCGACCTATAGTAAACGAGGAAAAAATTGGGAAAATTTGAAGGTATTGGAAAGAAAGTCAAGTTACGTTTCCATCAATATTATAATTTTTTATTTCATCGCAGAATAAGTGAATCAAAATTCAAACGTAAAGAGGCTTTTTAACACGTAGTTCAATGGGGGAGCTAAGGTTGCCAAACTTATGTAGGGGAGTGTAAGTATTATAAAGACCGGAGCCTTTATTGAGTCTCGGAAGTGGTAAAAATCATTCAGCTGTCAAATTTGGTCCAGAACAAATCTCGATTTTGACAACGTGTACGTACGAGGGGTGTTCAATAAGTAATGGACGCTTTTTTACACAGATACTTTTTATGGACCAATCCCTTTGATTTTCTTACCAGTGATACATCATTCAATTATCTATCAATTCTGAAGATTTGAAGACAAAATATATAATACATGTTGATATATCCTTATTTCTGTGAAGGGAGTACAGGTACCCCGGGACCGACATTTACGTCACATATTCAGTTTTTAGCCATGATGGCAAATTTCAGTTAGATTTAAACTTTTTTTTAAGTGCAACAAGTGTTGTGTTGTTTGAAATACCTGCATACCTGCATCTTGCTACCATGTCAGAGAATTGATTCAGCCTTGTCTCACAATTTTGAGTTAAGAGGATGAGGAATTGTGTACATGTAGCACTTGATGGAACCTATGTAGAGGGCCCTGTAGAATGAATGTGGCATGAATACCACATAGTGATGATAAAATATTCAAAATCAACTATGGCATAATAAAATAGAATAATTCATGACCATAATGGTTTGTTTTGTTCAGCCTGCATTCAACTGCGTTGCATGCTAAACAAGCTAAAATAGCTTCAGAATGTTTGACGTCGATGTCAGTCCCGGGGTACCTACACATCCTTCACGGAAATAAAGATATATCATAATATATTACATGTTTTGTTTTCAAATCTTCAGAGTTGATGGATAATTGAATGATGTATCACTGGTGAGAAAATCGAAGGTATTGGTCTATAAAAAGCATCCGTGTAAAAAAGCGTCCATTACTTATTGATCACCCCTCGTATAAATTGCTCATATACATTGCATGTAGCTTTCTGGCTTAAATAATCGTTTATTTGAGCTAAAACATGCATGTCATACATCATCTTCCTAGAAATCAAAATTGAAAGCATAGTATTCAATAATCATGAGTCTAAATGATTCCCGTTCACACCAACGTGAAACTGTAAATTTCCCGTTTTAAACACGAAACTCTGAAACTGAATGGGCATCTGAAGTAGTCTATTAAAGCGCGTGAAGCGCATTCAAAAGTATGCGCCTCGACACATTCCTATACTGATTCATGTACTTTCCGTTCACGTTCACGTTTAGGTTGTGAAAAACAGTTTAAGCCTTAACTCTCTATTATCGGATTTCAGCTACTGTAGTAGGCGGGGCCTTTCTAAATGGAACAGCGGAAATGACGTATTCACGGGGGTTAGTGTGGTGTCAAGCTACGTACGGATTCGCACTTAGTTTGCTTGTTGGTAAGTTATGTTACGTTGAAAATTTTCCACGTCATTTACTTCAATAGACAAAATATCAGAAGAGCAAAATTATGATTTGAGAAAGTTAAATGTTATTTTAGTATACAGTAATTGTTACAATCACATGTATGATAGGCTGTCGAAAATGTTGAAAGATGATCGTGGTAACTCCAAAAATATTGAAGAGATTGTAATATGATGAAAACATATCTAAAAATTCTGTGGGTAAAATGCTAAATCAACTTTCAGTGGCTTTGTTTTTCGCAAAGAAGATGCGCAGTGAAGGTTACGTTACAATGCTGGATCCAATCCAAAAGAAATTCGGCCTCGTGATGGGAGGTTTCATCACGATACCCACAATTCTTGCTGATGTGTCTTGGAGCGCGGGAATTCTGGGAGCATTAGGTTTGTGTTACAGAAATTCCGGTAAATGTCGGTAACGTTGCTTCATTTAAGATCAAGAGCATTCACCTACTTTTGTAAGCACTTGAAAATCCATCGCAATTCTGAGCTAATCTTATAATTGAACGTTATCTGGGCATAATATCGGCAAACTACATTCAAATTCCGATGTTCCATAATCCGATTTCGAAGTCTGTGAGGCTTAGATGAAATCATCAAGTGTTCTTCTCATACTAATACATGTAATGTAGTTCGTAATATATATACAGGGCGTATCAAAAAAACGCAACAAGTAGTTATCTTGTAAAATCACAAAACTAATGATGACTACATCAATTTCATTTAATGTATCATAAAGCCACATCTCTCCTCTTTCCGATGATATGTCTATCATTCACATGTGATAATGGTTGGGTGAGAAATCCTTCCGCTTACACAGTGGGTCAAAATCGGCTCTTGGCCAAGTTTTAGATATTGCAAAAATCAGTGCAAGGGCTAAGTGCCAATGGAAGTTCCTCTGAATTGAATTGTTGTGACTTTTTCTTTTGGAGCTATCTCAGGAGCATCTGTGCTCACAATTCCTCCACCAGATATTGCAAAACCTCGAGAAAGAATTGCCCATGGGCTGCTTTTCTCTGCTTTAACCCACAGATGACTCAGGGCTGAACCATGCATGACGTGGGCAGATGAGCGCATCTTTATGTGCAAGGAAGTGGTGGCAATTTGGAGAGGTATAGGATGTATTCTTGCAAGAGTATGAGTATGGACACTTTACTGTCTATGCCACACCTGTCATACCTTCTTCCAATAGTCCTTATTCCCTTTGTACTGGCTTTTGCAATTTTTAAAACTTGGGTCCGAGCTGAATTTTGCCCCACTTTGCAAAATTAATGATTATTCGGCCAGCCATGACTCCCTGTGAATGAATGATATTCCATTGCAAAGAGGAGTAATTTGGCTTTTTGGAACATTGAATTAAAAGGATGCAGTCAGCATTGGTTTTATGTTTTTTTCCAATATTGCATCAGGCTCCGTACACTGACTTTTGCGATGTTTATAACTTGGGCAAAAGCTAATTTTGGCCTACTTTGCAAATGGAATGATTACTCGCCCAACCATGACCAAATATCAATGAATGATATATCATTGTAAAAAGGAGACACATGGCTTTATGGTGCATTGAATGAAATTAATGCTGTTATCATTGGTTTTGTGCTTTTCCGAGATAACAATCTGTTGCGTTTTTTTGATACGCATTGTATATTGTCAATGTATTTCAAATTCTGATGTTTTCAAAGTATATTAAACAAACTTTTGCGATGATAGCTCTTTTTTGGATCACTTAAGGTCAAAGCATTACTAAATACTAAGCCGGACAACCACATTTCGAACCAATTTTATGACACATGGCACAAGTATAGATCTTCGTCAATAGTATATGATTCAAATTACATTATGTTCAATTTCAGGAGGAACCTTGTCTGTGTTAATTGGCCTTGACAGTAAAGTTTCAGTTGTAGTGTCAGCTTGTATTGCTATATTGTACACCTTGTTCGGTGGACTATATTCTGTTGCGTATACAGATGTACTCCAGTTCTTCTGTGTTTTGATTGGTTTGGTATGTAGCCTTGTGTGTGTACACTAATAACCAATGTGCGATTTTTTTAATTTTGACATTTTATTCGGCGTTTTGACTGCTGAGAATACGTAAATATATTTACAACCCCACTTATCTTTGCAACTTGACTTGTTTACCTTGTATTTCGTCTCCAAATATTCCAAATAAGGCCTGATTAAGAATCACAAATGTATTTTCCAAATACGTGTAGTACATGGCCGTGCCATTCGCTGCCCATCATGAAGCTGTACAAGAGATAGGGACGACAGCCACAGATTGGATTGGGAAAGTAGAGCCATATGAAGCTGGGGCTTGGCTGGATGTCTTCCTTCTTACCATGCTTGGTGGAGTACCTTGGCAAGTAAGTTCTGATTTCGTCTCCCGAAAGAGATATAGTTACCCGAAAGAGACCAAGCCCGTAGCCAGGATTTGCCAAGGGGGTTCACTTTTTGGAAAATTCCAGGTGGTGTTCACTTTTGACAATTTTGGTCCAAAAATGGCCAAAATCACTTAAAAAGTGCTCAGAATGGTGAAAAACTGCATGATTTTGAAAGAATTTTTGGTTTGCTCGAACACATTGAACTCCTGGCTACGGGCCTGGAGACAGTGGGATTGCAGATTATAGTTTTGCGACTAATGCGCCGAGGCCCTTCCTGTTCCAAGACTATTTTTTTAGCTGAACGATGTTCAAGTTACCCAAACAATTGCTTGTCAATTTGAACAATCAGAAATGTTTTGTTGGTCTTAAATGGTCAAAAATGAAGATGCCTTGAAATCTCATTAAAACGAGACTTCAACGAGATTTCAAAGCTATTCAGCAACCCTGGTAGTTTGAATACAGTACTTGTTTTCCAGGTGCTGTTCCAAAGGGTGTTATCTGCAAGGACTGCCAAAACCGCCCAGTTCTTTATGATCGTGGCTTCATTATGTGCCTTCGTTCTTGCTACCCCAGCTGTACTAATAGGGGCTGTGGCATATTCCGCGAGTCAGTTTTTGTTTATTTTCATTATTTCTCATCATTTACTTTAATTAAGTCGTCTGCATATATGATAGTACATGGTGGTATACACGACTGCTCAAATATTTGGCATTTCACCCAAAAAATCAGTACACTTTCCGTACTTTAACAACTACAAATTATGCATGTTGTATGAAAATATGAAAAAACTCATATCATATTTTGTACAGAATAACAGATCGAATGAATACATCCATCTAGGCCCTATAAAATTGTCGTACGCTGTAATTAAAAAACGATTACATGAAATGTTTAATTTCAGACTGGACGGACACGAAGTACTTCAGAGAAGGGCGTCCCGTTCCTATACCAGCTGATGATCAAAAGAACGTTCTTCCCCTTGTTTTACAGTATCTCTGTCCTACTTGGGTCTCCTTCATAGGTATTTCTGTCAACTTGTAGGGTAATCTTATTATACATGACTAAATTACTTTATTAATCAAGGGAGACTGTGATAGTTGACGAGAGCAATAAATAAAAATTGATCCTTCAGAACCATTTCGCGATCAAATAATAAGATAAGGAATAAAAAAATACCTGATTTTATAAACTGTGTATACTGGGTATAAAAACTCGAAATGACATCAGCAACAAAGAGGATGATTGGCTCCACCGATATTTTGCCATATCTGGAGTCATGTCGTGATAACAAAATTCAAAATAGCCGCCATTTTTTCCATGATCCAATTCAGAATTTCAATTTTTTAGAAAGAAATAATTTCAGAACACACAAGAAGCGATCAAAATATTTGTTAGCCACTGATAGTCAGTTATAATGTCAGACGATTACAACATTTTCACTGTTGTCGTCGATATCGTGAGAAATATCATTGCAGTTCATTCGTGCGTTCTTTGCCACAGAAATCAGCATTATAAAATTGTTTGGAGATTAAAAATATCCTCCTTGATCATCAATATATACTTTTTGAACCTTTAAATGTCAAACTTGAAATAAATTTCGGTAATTAATCCTATTCTTTCCAGGACTCGGGGCAGTTAGCGCAGCAGTGATGTCGTCGGCCGACTCCTCGGTTCTTTCCGCCAGCACAATGTTCACTCGGAATATTTACAAAACGGTTATTCGAAGAACAGTAAGTATGGCAAAACCACAGTCAGTATTTTTTTATGTTATATGCTAGTCTCATAGTTAAATATCGAGCCATCGTTCCTTACTTCCATCGACCATCACTTCACATGTTTCGCGTGCGAATCCCCGCAGTCTGATCCCCGAAGCAGCTATAACTTTCAATCTGTCAAATGTCAAACTTACATTTTAGGCCTCAGAAAGGGAACAAATTTGGGCCCTGCGTTGCAGCATCCTAGTATGTGGGATCTTCGCAACAATCATTGGAATCTTCGTTCCAACAGTCTATGGATTGTTCGTCGTATCTGCCGATTTAGTGTTCGTCATCGTCCTACCGCAGTTGATATGCGCTGTTTACGTTGGATTTGCGAACACCTACGGTTCGGCTGCATCGTATATTGTCGGGGCGACTCTAAGGATCCTCGGCGGAGAATCCATCATCAACCTACCGGTGATATTGAAATATCCCTGGTATGATGAAGAAAAGCAACTACAATTATTCCCATTCCGTACGTTTGCATCCGCAGTGACTCTTATAACTTTAATCTCTGTATCATACCTCACAAATGCAATATTCACGAGGTGGCACGTCAATAAGAAATATGACATTTTTCGCTGTTTCTCGAAACCCCCTACAACGGAAGAAAAAACCAAGGCTGTTGGTCTTGAATTCAGTCCTCTTGACACTAAAGACAATATGAATCACGTTGAGGGCAATGGCATCGCTAAGTCAGGCAGCGAGCATAGCAATGCCGCAATGACTGACGACGACAATGGCGTAATTGATGCCAACAGGTTATAAAGAGGGCGCTGGTGGTTTAAATATTGTATCAATGTAATCAAGCAACATGATCAGGGATTTCTAAAATCATTTTTAGAAACAATTGATTGTTATCAGATAATCATGTCATATTGTAGGAGCTTATCAATTGCGTATTAGTTGAATGTTTCAAGAAATATACCTTATGCAATGATATTTTAAATGCAATCATGGAATTGGACACGCATTGGAATTTATTACGTGAGGTGGACGAACGAGTAATGGACTAATCGCAAATTAAAATACAGGTGTATTATATATAATATAGTCTATAAAAGTGTGTAGTTAGTAAAATGAAATATACACGATATCTTTATGTAAATAAAACGGTAGATAATCGTGTACTATAGTTATAGGGTAGCTAGTTTTGGAATATACAATGTATGTCGACTCACCGAGCGGAAATATAATTGAATTTCGTAAATCGCATAAATCATGAATTTATTGTCAAGGAATTCCAAACTCCGCGTTAGTGATCGTTTGAAATATGAATTTCTATGTACCCCAGAACTTGAATTGCTGTTATGCTATGCTTTAGGCCTAGTCCATTCTAGATGGTTTATGGTCCATATCATGATCATAGTATTGGACCTACTCTTTCCTTCAAAAAGAGGAGGGAAAACCCATGATTCAATTGATGACATACGATTTCCTCTTTCACGCACCTCCTTTCCCGGAAGTACGTATATTTATACTTCCCTCCATCTTGGTTTTCAAAGTTTTCAAATTGACCTAGTTTTAAACCAATCAACGATCGACTCACTAAAATCAGCGACGATGTCATCTCAATACAGATTTACATTATAAGCGTATGTCATCTTTGAACCCTGGGGTTTCTCCCCCTCTTCTTCAAAAGTTCGGAAACCGGAAGTCTCCAATTTGCCCGTGAGATTCAAACAACCGGTTGCAAAATATATGGAGAGGTGTTTGGAATTTTATTTCAGAGGTATTAGTTGACTATATTCCTTGTCATAAAGTATCAGTTCATATTATTGCGGAATTTAGAATATATGCAAGTATACTTATTGTACAGTTCGTATATTTAAGACATACGGGGTTGTGTTGTAAATAGTTATATATAATCGTTGTATATTTTTGTTGTTTCTGTGTCAGAATAGAATACATTTTTATTTTACCATAAATAATGTTTAATACTCAATTATTAATTTTATTGTAACTATAGATCATAGTAGTTTATTCAACTAATATTGGATATATATATATTGTATGTTATATCTAAAGTATATGAATAATATAAAAATGTATTGTGTATTGGATATTCGTATTGTACATTGCTTGCATCGAACGAAATTGTTTCTAATTTTGTAAGAGTTGGCAACTTGACATGAGATATTATACATTAAATAGTATACACATCGTATACCCCGCGTTTCTAATATTAAATACAAAAAATAAGTTCAAAATATTTCTCGTATATTTCAATTATCGGACGCTATCAAAGTATGTGATTTACGGACAATTCGTTGAGAATTTTGGGATAGGACCACATAAATATGTTATGGCGATATCTTTCCAATTCTTATTCGACTCAGAAAACACAAAGGGCAACACAATGAAAACGCAGGAGATTATTCTAAGGATAATTAAACAAATTATGTACCTAATTTCTTACTTTAAGTGGGATCAACCTCGAGTTTACAAACATATGTCCCTGTGTCATTTCACATGCGGGGTGATGATATCACGTTTTTATATATGGGTCTAGGCAACCGGTAAAAGCAAGGGGAGTAACGTGTATGTTGACAAAATGCTTGAGAAGCTACAGCTTGAAACTTACGAACACTCTTACTGATTTATTACTTTATTGCTGTATGTCGATATCGACTTAATTCAAACTACTTTCTCATCTCAAACTTTCATGATTTAAAGCCTACTAAGTCACAGGTCCTGTACAGATGGTAGTCTTTCATTGATAATTTTAGTTAAAATAGACCATATGATAATTACGTTTCGAATCAAGTGCCGGTTGAGTCCGAACTGCACTATAGAACGAGTACTGTTACAGAGTTGGTTGTCCCCCAGGGATAACTGTCAACCCTCGGGTGTCAACCATGGATATCTATCCGCCGGGGATAAATGTCGCTCTCCTTTAAGGTCAAAATTATCCTTTTAAATATAGCTTTAACTACGGAGAATACTTGTTGAGATGCACAACTGTTCACCCTCGGAGAAGACAACAATAATGCTAACCCCGGAGGACATTTACCCCTATCATACCGGTCTGTATTCCGATAAGATGTGGGAATGAATCACCTTTTAATATTTAACAGAAAAATGAAGTATCAATAAAAGTACTGGTGTATTATCATATCCATAATGTTATCACTTTATACAGTTGCTATACTTTATTATTTAGTCTAGCTACAAGCTCCTGTGACCCCCCCCCCCCCCCTGACCACTCCCACTACCTGACTAGACAGGTATGAAAACTTCTCATTTTGTTGGGAGGTGTGTGGGGCACAAAGGCTTGCAGCTAAACTATTATTTACAAGCTTCTTAAACTATTATACAATGACAAAAGGTGTGTTTTCGCCACAAGAGCACTACTCAGTCCGAAAATGTGAATTTGTACCCCCCCCCCCCCCCCACCCACACACACTCCTTCCCTCTGTTAACATGCATATACACTGGATAGGAAAATTTATATGGGGGATGGGCTGGAGACACAATTCACAAACCGCGACTTAACAACGCACATTGTCATCTATAATGTTGGGATAAATATATCATGGAATGCATTTTTATTAACCTAGACTAGTGTCACTCAATTACATTTTATTTTATTGCACATTTAGCGCCACCTTTACGTATAGCTCCATCTAGCGGTGATTAAATCGGCATCTGATTGGTCGTATTTATAACTGCTAAGTTACCATATGAATACATGGTTAGTTGCTATAGCCTAAACTCTAGAGTCTAATATCACAATGTAATTCTAATGTCTCAAAAAATGCTTATTCAAGGTCACATGGTAAATTGAATTGTAGTTTGAAAAGAAATATGAACATGTATTTATTTAGATTCATATTCTGATTTCTTTTAAGTTGAGACCTTGATGTGCAAATGACTTGCTAATATCATCATGTGAAGACGTAATTTTATATATCAAACTACATGGGTCTCACCCAGGGCCATCACAGACATTGAGATTTATGGGATACATCCGACAATGTGAGTTCAACTGTACCCCGGGGGAGCCCCATCTATGTATATCTATCATTAGGGGTCTAAACCGAGTATTCAGGTCCCACGTCTAATGTTTCTAGCTAATAAATTTCATTTGGCACATCTATCACCGATATAATATCTCCGTACTTTGAAAATATATACAAAATAATAAATACTTTAGTCTCTCATTATCACTACCACAATACTATAGCTGGTATATCAGTGTGTATGTACAGTTAATAAGCCATATCCACACGTTGTCAGTTGTAACGCCTTCCTGAGTTTCAAATAACGAATTTTCTCGAAGTTTCTCGTGTACTCTCGAATTATACCACGTGTTGTTGGGCACTTAGGGCCTGATGCACATGTTCCTGCGTTAAATGTTCTGAGACAATTAGTTCTGAGTCTTCTTTGCCCAAGATAGAATTTTGCTCATCCTTCTTTTTGTTACATTTACGTTCTTTGGCTCTGCGATTCTGGAACCATATTTTTACCTGAAAATATAGAACATCAAATATTGAATAATTTGTCAATGAATATTCGGTAAACGCCAACATAAACCTATATCTTTCGTCAAATAATATAATTTTGTCAAACATGTATTATTTTTTATATATTTGATTTTTTTCATTGTTTAAACATTTGTATAAACAAATAGCCCTACTTGGTCTTAAACATAGTTATAAGAAATATATAGTAATATATAAACACACTTGATAATTAATTCTGATCTAGTGTGTGCCTTATACCATTTGCCTTAATTTTAATTAATGGCACTAGAGAAATAGGTACCACAACCAAAATATTTGTAAAATACATAAAAATCATTCCTGCTTTCAACTGCATAACAATCATCATATAATTATGTTTTAATTGGTTGATAAAAATGTACTGTACAATCCCAAAAGCTGGATTTTATTAGGTCATGTGTAATGCTGAAGCGTAAAAGAAATCCATTGAATCGGGGAACTTGGAATTAAGAAATATGGGTTCTCTTTTTACCCTTTGCATTCGTTTGACTTCACTTCTTAAAAGTTTAACTAACTAGACTCTGCACGCAGGGTATTCTTTTTTCGATTTTCAAATAAAATGTTAAGAAGTCACATTCCGCATCCTTGACTTGATTTGGGTATGTATATCAATAACAATAATCAACCAATCAACTACACAAAATAAGTCACCGTTTTTAAATAATACTAAATAGTAAAAAATAAAAAATCTCCGAAAATTTCTAAAACGAAGAGTAAAGGTGAATCAGTTTTGATGAATGCACCATTCAATGCCTCATTCCGATTTCCCTCATCACATCGATAAATTTTTTATAAAATATCAATGTTTATTTATTAAAATTGTAACTATGTTTTGATGCTAAAACGACTCTTACCCATCATGATAAACCATGTCATCTCATTTCTTCTCAGCCCTGAAACAAAAGGTGAAACAAAAAGATGCTATGAGTATCAGAATGACTCTTACCTGTCGTTCGGAAAGACTAAGCGCCTGTGCTAGTTCTGCTTTACGACGTATAGTGATATATCTACTGTAGTGGAACTCTTTCTCAAGCTCTAGTCTCTGATGATCACTGTACACAACTCTGTACTTGTCTTTCGTTCGGGTTTTTCCTGCAAATACATGAAAAAACGAACGATGAAGTAAATGCCGAACGAAGGATTCATCAAATTCCTTTTTGTGGAATCTAACTAATTATTAAAATACATCTTCCGTATTCTTGCTCATCTTGGAATTTCCAAGATATGAAGTTCATAATTGAAAGTCAAAGTGGTAAACGAATACCGTATTATTTTAGCTTTTAATAGTTATTTTATTTTTGTACTTATTTTGCAGTTATATCAATGCCATGTCTATCTTCAAAAACTCCAACCGCTCTGGCTTTATATCAGGATACTCCTTATTTCTAAGACTATTTCCATCTGGCAAAAGCTTTGAAAAAGGCGACGTCCGCTTTTCAACTCTTATGAATTTGGACGTTTCTACATCTGAGGTCTTCAATAACTTCTATATTTTACCAGATATCTGAATTCATTTTTAGAGGGAATACAATTAGAATTGTAAAGGAAACATTGACATGATTTTGAAAATTGTTTCAAAACTTTTAAATTCCCACATTGACATTTTGCAACGGGAAAGTGACTCGATCGATCTTATTTTTAAATCATTGCACTTTTAACGTTTATATGAAACTAATTAATATAAATTAATATCATTTTAATTAGGGCAGGAATATGCTCGTTATCTTGAATTGGTTTATACCTTATAGTTTATTTTGGTGTCTACGTATACTTTGTCTTAGTAAGAGCAGTTAATCTGCGCCATTGGAGTGCTCTGTCAGTGTCACACCTTTTAGTTTGAGTTCTGTTTACGTAGGGATAAAAATTATGTGACATAGTATACTATTTAATGAGATAAAACACCAACGTTCATCATTTTTGTCGTTCAAGAATGTTTGTATATTCTATTTTTAGTATTGTGTATTTAAGGTAGAATATATCAAATATACGGGTGAAAAAATAAGTAATAGTATATTTACATTTAGTTCTATAGGATAGTTAATCAAATAATGTACTTTCTGTCAGATTCCAGTTATTCCTTGTTGTCCAGACATTATATTGTACAACTAAAGTTGTGTGACATTAAAATTGTTTGTTGAGCATTCGCAAATGTTTATATGATCTTTAAACATCAATTCAATATACTCTGAGGTAAACCTTTCTTTCTAAAAATATCAAAATTGAAAAAAAGATAAGTTGAAAATTGGCAAAAAATATACTCTCGCTGATTCAATGGAAAAGTATGACATAAGTATTAAAAATGGCTACTTGTAGCGCATGTCAGTGAGATTTTCACCGTGAAAGCCTGAAACATTGGAATTCTAAGACAAACCCCTTGTATCAATGTTCAAAAATTCACATTCTCCAAGCACATTGATTCTCTCTTTTACTCTCCTTGCAAATGAATAAAAGAAATTGACCTATGATTGGAGATCATGAAACTTGCAACCAGGTAAAATGTTTACTTTTCAGAACGCGCTATGTTGCGAATGTATCATATGTCATGTCACTTGCAGATAATCTTATATTATCACATATACAGTGTCCAATAAAACAATAATACTCCATGTATCAATGTCCATTATCAGCAATTAACGTAATCTAATTAGATACGGCGAAGTTATAAGAGCGTTATCTTTACGACGGTGAACAACAGAAGGGGAGTGAAGTCTTCCCAATATGCACTAGACGAAAACACCTGACTATACTCTACATATTCGTACCGCTACGTAATCTATTTAGGAATCCTTTGATCTTGTTGACATGTAATTAACAATAAGTACTTATCTCATATTCTTGGAATGATCCTCCATGGGAATTTATACCTGCTGTTCCATTCAGTTGTCGAGAATATGATTTTAAAAATAAACTGGTTATGTCCCCACTCATATCAAAATAGGTAAATTCCCAAGCTTCTATAATATGTATAACTCAAGTAGAATGCGTTCTAACAGAAAGTTACCATTTTTAAAAGTTTGATTTCGCTTCTTTAGATAGTTTTCGATAGATAGCTTCGTCTACCTGTGCTATGTTTTGATACTCAGGGTAAAAAGGGTTTGATTTAATAATAGATACAAGTATATGAGATCTATACTTATTGTTTACTCTGTTTTCGAGTTCTAAACTTTTTACGTATTATAAGCAGTTTAAAGGATGTTATTTTAGCTAGATTCCCATGGTATGATTTAAAAAACTTGTTAGCGAAATTAAGTTATCGTAGAGAAGGTTGAACTATTATTTTATCCGTCAAATCAGGCCTGATTTACAAGGTTTTACTCTCAATTCATAACAGTTATAATTCGAAGATACTCTGATTTAGTTTTAGGTAACTGTTTAATATTTATTGTATTATGGAGTTTAATACCCTTTGCATTCGTTTGACTTCACTTCTTAAAAGAGAGCTTCTGTAGTTTAACTAGACTCTGCACGCAGGGTAGGAGTTTAATAGCGTACAACAAGGGTTTGGATCAAATGGAACTGAATAGATAAGTTGGCATACGACTGAAAATGTTATCAAAAATAGTTAGATTCGGGAAATGGTTTCCTCTTTGAACAAAGATAACGTTAATTATGCGCAAAATTAGGATGATCACCTAACATACCAGTCGTTTAAACAAGATATGATATGATATGGTATACCAATGTTAAAACATTATATTGGAACGTTGGCTTCAAGCAAAAAGTATTCTGAAACATTCCAACTAGAAATGTTTCTAGATAAGAATTTAAACCCTTGGTCCAAGGATATTTCACTTCTTTCCTGAATTTAGAGAAAATGGATTCCTTTGAAGAAAGATGGGAACTATTACAGAAGGCCATGATTTCTAATAATGGCAATACCACCGACAACATTTAAATCGGTTTTGTATATATTCAGACAGAAGAAATATAAATAATTCATCTCTATTTTTCGATGTCCTATTAATGATCAAACGTCTCATCGCGGTCTTGAAAAAGATTATGCATGTCAATGCTCTGATGTGAGACGTTCCATTTTGTTTTGCATAATTAAGGACAATTAGATATACATTGATATGCGCTAATGTAGGGCCGCATAAGACACCTATGTCCATTTTCTTGACCTGTTATCCCTCGGTAGTTATTTGATCTCGACGTCTGTCCATTAAGTGTTGTTATCCAAAATCGCATGATGAGCGAAAGACAACAAAAACGTAATAAATAACATATACACTGAGTATTAGACCCTATAATGAAGATGAAGTTCTCTTTTAAAAAGGCAAAATCAAACTATTTGAAAGGGTCCATAACTTACTTGGCATTCCGCTAACTTTATGCGCAGAATTATTAACTAACGAAATTATATTTTAAGAAAATAAATCAAACGATTGCAAATGGTATATTGAGCTATGCTTATTTATAAAAAAAATTCACATTTTCTATGAATCAGATTAAGTTTAAAAATACATGGTTAATCATGATGGTAGGGTTGTTCAATAAGTCAAGTTTACGTGAATATTATTATGTAGCAAAACTTATTGTACATTGTAGTAGCATCCCTATTCTTCCCGAGTATAACCAAACCGGTATTATTAATCGTAATATTTTGTAGAAGGCAAAATATGTTTCCATTTATGCTTATAATAAATCAAAAAAATGATAGTATATTATCCATATAATTTCTCTGCAACTTGGCATTGTTAAGCCTCGTTGATATTAAATTTGAATTTATCTCACGGTTAAAGTGTGTATTGAATCAGTATTTTAAAAGGGTGCGTTTTGAATAACTCCTGAAAACTTGAGGATCGTACGTCAAAATAATTATTTCTAATTTATATTTCTTACGTAAAACTTGGTTTAGGGGAATAAACGTTACTCCGCCATGTTCTGTTTCTGACGTCGTCTAAAAGATTTACAATTTGCTCTATTTTTAACTTACATTTACGATGGATATTGGGCATAGCCAGTCCTGAATTGGCACGGCTTCTTTCCTTTTTAATACAAATGTAATATGAATGTATGAAAATAATAGAAATGCTATCCTTATTATACGGAGGAAAATAAAGAAACATATAAGACGGTTAACTGGTCTTTCATGAATATTTGTAAATTCTTCATATTTTTGGAAGAATGATATAAAAATCATGAAGGAAATGACACAAATGTCCAGTCAACTCCGTTTGTTTTAAATTCAATCAAAGTAATTTGCTTTTGGGATTATATTGCTACTCACATCACTTTTGAAAAATCCCTCTAGATTCTTTAATTAAATTTTACTCTCTCAATTCATTAAATATTTTTCTCATTTATATTATTTCTAAAACTTACCAGCATAAGAGTATGAAGTAAATGTTTTTCATTATCCTTTCCCAGACCGATCGCGAATCAAAGAAGCATGTGCTAAAACTCCATGATTATATTTTAACTTCCAAACAATCGACATAAAATAAGTATCCGTTTATCCACAGACGTGACAATCCATCACATCCACAACAGGGAATAAATCTTGAATTTGGAAATATTTTATTTTATAGAATTTCGAAGTGTTTTATGGTGAAACCAGCAATACGTTTAAAATTATTATTTTATAGTGGTAATTGTTGTAAAAAGTTATAGCCCCTTTGAGTCAATCATAAAACCAAGTGCTTTACTACATCGTAGAAACATAAAATCCTACAACTTATTACACATTATTGTTCTTTCTATATACACAATAAAACAATAAAAACGCAATAAACCAATGTATTTAGGGGTATATGGTATTTAAGCTTATAAACAAGAATGGGGGTTATAAATGGTAATAAATGAGCAATAAGGGTTATAAACGGTAATACCTGCCGCTGGTTGTGCTGCGTACGTCTGACGCTTCATCCAGTCGAATGGAGCACGGTTCTGTTGCCTTGGCGATGTGGTATTCACGGATGCGGACATCGGCGCGGGATGTCCAGTTTGGTTAAAATGAGCAGCGTATGCTCCGGCGTTCTGCGCCTGGGCAGCGAACGCTTGTTGCCATTCCTCGAGCCCAGCGGCTGATCTCGACCCAGCGTACATACCCCACTGCTGTTGCATTTGGCTCTCCATCGGGGAGATCTGAAACGCTGGTCCGAAGTCTTGAGGGTAGCCGCCCTGTTGCTGCGTTGTAAGGAAGGGATTTAGCGACATTGTTGTTGGTTGTCGTGTACCCGCCGTGTAGTGCAATGTCTCCCCAAACTCTTGTACCATGTTTATAACTTTATGGCCCGACTCTCGCCCTATGAACCACTTGACACGACTCTTACTCTTCAGCTCTTGCTAAATCCTGGTCGAGAACCTGTCACCACGTGGACGTCCGTTTCTAGAGGATCTACTTTACAAATATGAACACCGTCTCCTTTTTAATTAATGTTTTTCTTTATTTTTGCAAAATATCCTTACTTTCTCCAACGTGTCTTGTCTTCGTGGATCGTCAATATAACTGGGCTCAAGTTGGACTTAGGTGACATAGGAGCGGTGCCTCTGATCAAATTATAACAATATCAAATAGTTGATAAACAAAACCTGATCGACTCGGCCAATCAGAGGCCATAATGCTCCTGACGTAATTCCTTATCTTCAAAGATTTCCGAGGCTAATGGGCATTTCATATGCTGATGACCAAATAGGTGATGGCACTGTTTTGTCAAGACACAATGGGGGTCTGTGGTTGACCTTAGTACGGTCATTATACGCTCTTTTAGAGGGTCATTATGAAGTCCATACAATATAATGCCCACACTTGAGTTGTTATTCTTCTCAGTGGGAAAGGCCCGCCCAGAATGCATAATATCATCATACGCTTGTTTAACTTGTAACCTGAGAGAATTGTGACAACGTGTCAGTATATGATCAAAAGATGGGTACCTAGTCTTGCTTCAAGACCATGCCCCCTCCCCCTTATTTACTTTCTTTTAATGGAGTAAAATGAAGTTATTGGAAAGCGTTTTAGGAATTTACGAAGTAGTCTCAAGTGATAATATTTCTCGGAGAAAGGCGAGTGATACCAACAAAAATAAAAATGTCCACTAAACAATATCAACCGACAGAACTGCGTGTTTCTGGTAAAAAAATATGTTAGTGTTTTATTCTTCATCCTAGCTATAATCAAGTACAATGAACTAACTTTATCATATGATACCCATGTATATTCAGTCTTTTCAGCTATGGTATATTTTATTTTTGTCATTTTATTGATTTATTCATTAGGATAAAATACTCTCTTCTGAGCATTTTTTCTTGTAATTGTAATACCTTGATATTTATAGTTCACAATTGAAGGAATATGCAGTGGCTTTATGTAGTAATAATGCTAGATTTGGAAATATTTTATTGTAATGGGCTTGCAAAATCATTTAAAATACCATAATCTTAAATCAAAAACGAATCCGTCTATAACTCCTTCCTCCCAACCCCAAACATATATTTTTTGGGGTAGAGAAAATAATTCAGGGGACATGTAGTTTGACACCTTGATTTATCGCGGTCGTACTTTACCATAGGCGTAGCCAGGGGCACAATGAATGGGTCTTATTGTTTGAAGTTTCCAGCTCAATTTTGAAGGAAGTTGCATCAATTCTTGTAAAATTCAAAACACATCATTTTTTTGCTTGCTTATGCCACGATCGCACCCCCCCCCCCCACCCACGACTAAAAACAAAAAGAATTGGTGATCGCCCCCCCCCCCCCCTCCCCCTTCCCCCACTGACCATTTAAAAAATTGATTTCACTAAATCTTTGAATCTGAGACCATCATAAAATATTTTATGTTAGTCTCAGTTTAAATGAACCTCTACCAATAGCCTCTGGGTCTTCATTATGAGAGATAAAGGCCTTCTTTTAGTTCCTTTCTAGAAAAATAGAAAGATGTGTTGAGAATCAGAATGGTGGGTTTTGTCGCATTGTGGGAACCTCCCTCGTAAGCTTGAATAAAGAAAATGGGATTCGGGGATCCATATCTTAGCCTGGCTACAAGCCCTTGTTCAACAAGTGTTGGTGTCTGTGTGAGAAGGTGTTGAGTCAAGTAGAGGGGGTCTGATAGAAGCTTGTAGCCAGGGGGGTTCGGGGAGTTCGGGCGAACCCCCCCCCCCTCCTGGGCAAAATTTCGTTCAAAATCATGTAGTTTTTCACCATTCTGACAATTTTTTGAGTGATTTTTGGCCAAATTTGCCAAAGTGAACCCCCCCCCCCCCCCCCCCCCCCTAGAATGTTTTGGAAAAGTGAACCGGATTGGAAAATTCTGGCTACGGGCCTACTACCTATGTTATGTCGCGATATAAAAGTAAAATAAGCATTAAGAGCCCCCCTTTATCTATTGCATGAGAAGGAGAGTCCGTGTATTCCATTTCTAAAGGATAGATAAAGGCTGTGTGAATCCAAGGACATCCTTGGTGAATCCCACAATTATGTGCGTAAAAATATTCATATTGATACATAATGATAATCCGGTTGCATAATGACATTTAAAGGCTTATGTATCATGAGTTTGCCTATTTGGTGACATATCCTATCAGTATGCCCTCCGGCCATGAAACGTACATTCTTCTCTCTGCAGAAGCCATTAATTATTTCCCGACTCTTGCAATAAAGATATACAGTGCTAGACTGCTAGTATAAAACGATTGTGTTGCCTACCCCCTCCCCACTTGTATAGGTTAGAAGCCATCTATTAATCCCTGTAGTTGACACTAACAACACTCTTAGTTTTTAATTTAATTAAATAAATTGTTGATAAAGTCTGATTTCCAAACTAGAATTTGTTATCAGATCATTGCATTTTTACCTGTAGAGTATTGTATTGTATTGTATTGTATTTTATTGTATTGTTTTGTTTCCTTCATTTTCAGAGTGCAGTTATATGGTTAGCCGATGTGTTTCAGGGTTATGATATTTTGGGGCCTTACACGGAGCCTTTATTCTGATAATAACATTGGGGCCTGAACTTGTTCGGGGACTTAAATATTGTTCAGGGATTTTCTCGAAAATCTACACATGGCTGACCAGAAAAAACAATTTCTATTCGATCGGAGTGATAAAAATAAAAGTAACACTATAAATTCAACAGGCATGTCTCATATTTTTCACAAAGTTATTGTCTGGCAAAAGGTGTTAGTGGTTGGTCACCCCCTGAAATATCAAAGTTCATGAAGCGAATTAAGTCAAAAATCAATTAGCGAATATAATTTGCATCGTTTACGAGGAAAGAGGTGGTGTTTTCTAAAATGCTATTTTCAGCGTCAGTATTAATTAATAAATCCATCAAAACCTTCCTTGAATCTGCAATAAATTCTTTATTCGCTGACAATTCCTTCACATCAAAATGTTCCGTGTTTACTCGATTCAACTTAGATATTTGACATCAAATATTACAATTTAATTAGATAATTCCTCGAGTTTAGGATAAATATTGAAAATAAAACAGCGTCCTTCGTTCTACCGAACATTTTAAATAAAAGTTTGCTGAATTGATAAATAGGCCGGATTTGAGGTGGAGCTCAAAAGAAATGATTTATTTCACCAAATGTTTCAGTGCGACGCTGATTTTTACCCCCCCCCCCCCCTCTCTCTCTCTCTCTCTCTCTCTCAATTAAATAACGAACGGCAAAAATAGACTTTTAGATCTGTCTGTGATCGCATTATCTTATTTTTAATGAAATAAATCGACTAACCTGCGCGAGCATAGTATCATAATTAATATAGGCTTAGTCGAAATCCAAATGAACTGACTGAAGTACATTTTCGTTATGATTCCAAAGAATAAATTTTCTACATTGCTTTTATAGCCTAGTTTTAAATCAAGTTTTATTAGAGTTTTAATAACCATTTTAATTTACAATATTTTATGCCCCTACAATAATATTATCATTAGTATTAAGGTTGTAAAACGAGGTCTATCGCTTTAAAATAAAATTAATTACTTTATTATGGGTAACTTTTAATAGTAAAAACTTGAATCGGTTCATTAAAGTCGTAAACAGATAAGAGCAAAGATATACCTGTTATACACTCGGAACTGAATATGGGTTTTATCCCGAGACAAAACGTTATTCCACTTAATATCGTGAGATCAACACAACTTAGTATACAGTCAGAATTTGTTCAAAAATGCACTAATTAGAGTCGTGGTCTGATATGTCATAGAAACCATGATAGTTTGCACGAATTGACGACAGTAATGGGAAATTGCCACATGAATTTAAAGAAATCGAGAGTGTGTACATACAAGGTGCAGTTCAATATAGTCGTAAATCAACCGGATGACACCAACACTGATAACGAGGCTGACAGACGACAATTTATAGGTGCTTGTGTACATGATTTGTGGTTCCTTCTCCCAATTGAGTTGTCATGGTCGTATGTTGTTTTTTAATACAAAATAATTTAAAGGAAATAATGGTTTGTGACAGGGAATATTAAAGTGAGTAAAGATTTTAAATCTTCACCGTGTAAGATGCACGTTCTCCATCTCTGCCCCGTCGGGACATGAAGAGAGAGAGGGGGGGGCAAGATGCTATAAAATGTATCAGAATGTTGAATCATTCAAACGCAGGGCTCCGGACATCATAATAAGGAAGGAACGGGATCGATGATGTCTGGACATGACTAATAATGATGAAATATTGTTACTTCGAAATTTGTGACATTTGTAAAACTACTGAACACGTTTCTTTCCTTATCTTTATCAAAATGATATCTGAACATGGGTTAACCATAAAGGTATCCTTCATATATATGTAGGCCTACCGTCGTAGTGTTTCTAAAATCCCTTTGGCTAGTGCCATGTAATGAGTTTGATTATCAGAAAATGCCAAACGATTCATTCGTGACCATCTATATACGAATCATCGCTTTAACTAAGAGGAAATAATACCATACCCCTACCCTAAATAACAAGCCACGTAATCTCGGAGATACACTTGAGGGAAAGTATATGGGGAAATAATATCGGTACCTTCCCTATGTATGTCTCTATGGATTGAATAATCAAGACTTTACATGTAGATATCGCACTTTATCATTTCTTCTAGCTTATCTCGTGAGCAATAAATTCATGTCACCCTCTAGGTTTTATCAACTGCTCTAACTCTATATGAAATAGGGTCCTATAACTTATCATGTATGCATAAATCAAATATAAGTGTCCAATAGTGTTAGAATAGCTGTAGCTTTTGGTATGAATGGAAATAATTGTGAAGTCTGTAAAAGACTCTAAAAGACTCTAAAAAGTCAGAATATGGTGTCTCTGAGCTCTAAAATGTATTGTATGTCTCTCTGGTTTAATTTAACCCTTTCCGATTATTTATTTGATTTCGATGTGCTTCTTTGGTTTATTTCGATGTTTAGCAATGTAAAAGAAATAATAAAATATGGTTTAATTTAGCGTGTTGATCACTGACACTGAAGAAAAGAATCACCAGAGCTATGCAAAAGTTGCAATTCAAAAAGCCAAATAAAATAATCAAAATTTGCGCCAAAATCACATCAAATTAGCTGATTTTAATAATTTAAGCACCAATATGTTTGTAATTTGCGCACATGACGTAAATACTAAACGTACCCATCTCTTATTAGGGAGTTTAAGCTTGCAATGTTTTTCACAGCCTAAACGTGAACGGAAAATATTTAAGC